TATTTCAACTCCATTTCTGAGCCAGATTTGAAGGTCCGAGTCCTGTTCAAGTACGTTATGACCCCGAAGGCTATCATTGCAATGAGGAGGAGAAGCCCAATGGAAAGTAAGATCCACTGGCCTGCTGCAGCTTGATTGTCGCTCAACCACATCCCAAGGAAATTGACTTTGTTGTTTGATTGCACTTGGCCTGAGTAGGAACCTAGCAAAACACAGATAGGAAGAATGGCTTGGGATGCAAAGGACTACTATTTGTCTGCCAACTTACATATTGATCACCCAGTCTGGTGCTGCATAGATGATTTTTAAAAAACTAAAGAGTGGCAGAGACCGAATCCAGATCAGGGTCGGTGTGTTTGTATGTGTGTGCATGCATGCACATGTGTCTGCTCACAAGTACACACATAGAGGAGGACTCTGGCTCTTTGCCCTCTACACTGTCCTAATTGTTACCCCACCCCCCCATGATTGCTGTTAGTCATGAGAGGAAAAGCTCCCTTTGGCAGTACTGGGGCCTTCCTTTCACCGCAAGCAGCAGGAATGCACGGAACCCTGCTGGGGGCAAAGGGTTAGGGCCCTTCTTCCACGCTTGCCCCATGGTTCTAAGGGCCTGCTCTTTGGGGGAAACCATTTCAGAATGGGAACCGACTGCTTGCCTCCTCCTCCCATCCTCTGTTCCCACTTCCTTTTTTCTAGTACATGTGAGAAGGACAATTTCAAAGCCTCTAAGTACCCGCAGGGGGCATCCAGGTATATTCAGGCCAGCCCAGAGTTTCGTTATTTTCCTTATTCTTGTTGACAAGCCAGTTTTTCAGTGGTTCAAAATAGGTCAGCAAGGCCTCAGCCGACATGTTGGGTTGCCCTGTGATAAGTTGCATAACTTCTGGCCATGGCTTGCTGTAGCCCAGCTTCAAGGCATTCCTGCATTAAAAAGGAAAAGAAAACACAGACACACAGCTGCACATCTGGCCATCCATTCACAACCCTACAGAGGATACAATATGTGGGAAATCCCAGGGGAACAAAAGAGTGAGACCAGATAGCCATCTGATCTTCCATGAAAAGCCAGCCAGAACCCTCTGGGAATATCACAAGCAGGGTGTGAGGCTCCCCCACTTTGTATGTGTCAGCATCTCATGGGGCTGCTTGAAGTGAAGGGCAAGATGGCACCTCCCACATTCCATGCACAGAAGCTGACCAGACTGGCAGTGGAATCTCGCTTTATCCATTTCAATCTTATTTTAACACTACATCTGCGAGAAGTGGTTGCATGGGGGGGGGGCACTGGGCCAGCTGTCTGTTACACACTGCTATGTCCTCCAACACTTCAATCTGCTCCCCTCCTCACAGCATCTGCTGCCTGTGGCACTTGCCTCACTCTACCTGATGGTAGGGCCAGCCTTGCACTGAATGCTGGTCAAATAGGAGAGGGAGAACAATCTGAATTTGAATTTGTGTAGTTATTCACTATCAGTGATAAATTCCTCCTCTTCCATGAATTTGTCAAATTCCTTTTTTAAACCATCTAAGAAAGTACCAGCGACCACATTCTGTGACAAAAAATCTATATAAGTAAGCACTGTCCTCCATTTATCTTCTCTACACCACTGATAAATATATCAGTCTCCCTCAGGCAAATTTGTATGTAGTTTGCTAGAACTTCTGCAATGATTCAGTTGGGCAAGTCATTCAACGTTTTTCAATGTCTTTGGGAACTTCCTCTTCCCTGCTATTGATCCATGCTGGTACCCTTGTGGATTTGCATGTCTTTTGATTTTACTCGCACCTGGCCACTATTTCAGTCTTAGAGTTCACTTACAAATATCTCATATCTTGCAAATATCTTTAGTCTCTCTGGGATGGGCTTCCACCAGATTTTCTATCCTGTCACAAACCAACAGATGTCCTTGCCCAATGCTCATGCTGAAGGGCCAAACCAGAGAGTCACCGCATTTCAGCATGCCTGCCCCGGAAGGTGGCAGTGGGGCAAAGTACCTCATAGCTCAAGGCTGCATTGTGAGGCGCAGGAGTTAGGGATGCTCCTGCCACGGTAGCCATTACAGAGGTAGCTGACTTGCTGGCAGTTGGAATCCTCACAGGAAGAAGTTTGACATTTGCAGTTATGTCCCTGGCAGTAGTGGCTATCTGACCTTCTATAATACTGGTTTCTTTTTGGCACTAGTCACATGACATTTTAATAAATGTGCCTTTTAAAAATTAAGGATGACTTCATTGAGTTTTCAAGGCAATGTGTAAATGTACACGCTGACATACACATATGGCAGTCATGGTTGTGGTTTGCAGGTTCCTTCTATGCCTTCTTTTGCAATGTGACATTGCTTTTCTGTTTTCTTTTTCTTTTTGCTTTCATAAATGCAACATGGTGTCCACCCACTTCATCTCAGTGATGTCTTTTGTTTCAAAGAAGCCCAACATAGTCAATTCTCAGCAGAGTGGATCATGAAACAGTGCCCTTCAGATTACTACATACTTGCTCTCTCCACTCAAAACTCTAGAAAGATGCAAACTGGAAGAAGTTCAGAGGAAGTCAACAAGAAAGATCCAGGGACTGGAAACAGAGCCCTGTGAGGAGAGACTGGAAGAGCTGGACATAGCTTTCCTAGCCTTGAGAAGAGATCTGAAGAGAGGAGATACGGTAGCCCTTTTCAAATACTCAAAAGTCTGTCACAGAGAGGAAGGCCAGGATCTCTTCTTGATTATCCTTGAGAGCAGGACATGGAGTAACTGACTCAGGTCACAGGAAGCCAAATTGCAGCTGAACATTAGGAAGAACTTCTTGACTGTCACAGCAACATGATAATGGAATCAATGACCTAGGTAGATTGTGGGCTCTCCCATGCTACAGGAATTCAATATGTAGCTGGACAGCTATCTGAGAGAGATGGTTTAATTTGGAGTCCTGCACTGAACATGGCGTTGGGCCTGATAGTCTTCTTGACCCCTTCCAACTCTAATAGTCTATGATTGTATCATTAGTATTTCATTGCAGTTGTATGAAGTATTCTATCTGAGGTGTTTATTTGGTGAATAGTTGTGAACTGCCCAGAGAGTTTTGACTACTGGACAGTATAGAAATGAAAATGAAATGAAGGAAGTTGTAGGCCAAACATCTGGAGGAAGACAGGTTACCCATCCCAGCTGTAGAGAAACCATACACATGACCCAAACCAATGGAACCAAAGTGATAGGAAACATCCACACCTTTGTAGAATTGATCTAGGTTTTTCTGACTAAATGGCTATTCCCTGTTAAAAGAACAAATTTATAAAGAAATAAAGCATAGGCTGATAACTAAAGGATGTTGATGTAATCTGGCACCTCATGAAACTAGCATAGCAAACTAGGCACATCACACATTAAAAAGTCCAGCAACCATGGTTTCCATGCAATTGGACAACTTTCATCTAGCATTAGATCATGGACACTGGTTAAGATTAAATCAGTGCTCTCATCCTGAGTCTTCCTTGACTTACTCTTGCAAAGTGGTTGTCACAATCTTATACTGTACCTAGGCATTTTTGTCTCAATCTAATTTACTTCTTCATGACTTTCCCAAATATATCCCATTACAGTTAGTTCTTTATCCTTTTTAGTTACATACTCACCCTGCCCTCCTTCAGGGTACCAAAGGCAGTGTAGATAATCCTCCTTTTTCTCCCTTAACCTTTGAGGCAGGCTAAGCTTAGAGTCACTAATTGGTCCAATGTCCCCTAGTGACTTCTTGGAAACGAGAACCCGGATCTCCCAGTCCCACATTCTAACCATTGCACCACAGTACCATTAAAGACTGCCTGACATTAGAGTGGCTGCTGAAAAGGCTTAAATGCAATGGGCCTGATTTGTTAGTGTTCCTATGAGCTGGGAGTGAGATGGAGCTGGAGGTGTGGTGATTCTGCCGTTGGACTGGATGCTGGATCAGATTGTCCTTTTCCTGTTCCAATAATCAGTTTAAAATATGAAATTGCAACAGATGGTAGAGGTGAACCAGATGTTCCACTGGGGTCTCATTTCACTATACAATAGTGCACTGTAAGAACCAAAAATCATCCCAGTGGGACAAATAATGTCAAATTATAGGGCCAAATATCCCACTCCACAGATACTTACTTCCATAAAAATTTACCTAGACATGCCAGTTCAATAGTGGATGAGAGGAGGAGGGAAAATCCTTGAAGCAAGATCCACAAGCAGAATCTATTTCCCTTTCCTGAGCAAGCAAAACTGGCATGCTGCAAGCTTGCATCAAGCAAATGTGGCAATTAAAGGGCAAGTGAGGACAGTGAGGACAATTCCCATAGTGAATTGTATTTACACAATTCATTATGGTGCTGCAAATATTCATTATCACTACTGAAAATAATTTAGTAATCTAGAATGTGATAGAGAAACTGTGAGACATGATATACTGCAGAACATGGAATAAAGGGCTTAAATTACTGGAAATCAGATTCTGGCTAGACATCAGGAAAACGTCCTGACTTACAGAGCAATAAAGCAATGGAACCAGTGACATAGGGAGGTGGTGGGTTCTGCCGCACCAGAGGCATCCAAGAGGCAGCTGGACAGGCATCTGTCGGAGATGCTTTCAGCTGGAGTCCTGCATTGAGCAGGGAATTTGACTTGATGGCCTGGTAGGGCCCTTCCAACTCTAGTATTTTATGAACTTCTACACAGACTCTAAAAGGTATAATAAATGGTTTTATTGAAAATGTTTAACGTTATTGTTGCTTTATGTCTTTTTTATTCTATTATTCTTTTACTATTTGTTGTTTAAATTGTACTATTTTATTAGCATTTCATTGTTGTTTATGTGAACAGCTCTGAGAGCCTTTGACTAAGAGGTGCAACATATAAGTGCAATAAATAAATAAATAAATAAATAAGGACCCATATTTAACATGGTCAACTAAAAGATGATAGATTCTTCTAAGGTAGTCCATACCAGAACCTGATAAAGTATGTCATGGCCACACACTCACCCCAGGATCCTTCCTGCTTCCTTGGACTGGTAAATATCACATTTGTGTAAAGGTCCAGTATGGCCAGCAGCTTTGCACAGGGCTTGGTGGAACTGGAACTGGATTACAAAACTGACAAAGTACCTGGAAGAGAGAGGGGAGAGGGGAGTTGAATAGGAAGCCAAGACTACCCTCCTCGAGGGCTGACAGGGCCAAATAATTATGTACTTACCTGACATATGGCACATTGGCAGGGATATGAAATTTTGCCCCTGGATCAAAGTCTGCTTCTGATCTTGACACAGGTGGACATAAACCTTGGTATTTCAATCTTTGTGATTGCAGAAAAGAGAGAGATGGTTAAGTTCTGCCAGTCAAATTGAGCAACTGATGAGAGGTTTCAAGAGCCACTTTCACAGAGTAGTACTTTTCTCTTGAGGAGAAGGCCTACTGAATACAGTGGTACCTTGGCTCACGAACTTAATCTGTTCCAGGACTCTGGTCATGACTCAAATTGGTCATGAGCCAAGTCAATGTAAATAAGTTTAATCCATTCTGTAACTATTTTTTTAAAAAATCACGTAAATCTGAAGCGGGCACGTGATGAGGGGAGACAGATATGATCGTGGGCGTGCTGGAGGGGAGACGGGTGCGCTGGGGGAAAGGCGGGTATGATTGCAGGTGTGCTCAGGGGGAGATGGGTGCGATCGCAATCGTCACCGATTCTGAGTTCACGACCCGAGGCAAAATTTTTCAGAAATTTCTGTCCGCGACCCAATTTGGTAGTGAACTGAGGTGTTCCTGAGCCAAGGTACCACTGTATTTCTTTCCTGAAAACTGTTCTGGTCCCCTGGTTATGGGTACCACTTCTTTTTAGAGTCCCTGGGACGCTTTCATCCACCTTTTCCAATAACTATTGGCATGATTTTCTTTGCTGCAGTCCTTCCTTCACAGCTTATAGCAAACACCAATAACATGCCAGAGAAGGGGTACCGTCCAAAGTAGTGCCTTAGGTAACAGCTAGAATTCCTCAAGTTAGAGCAAGCTCTGTTCTGATCTGTAGCACCATCTGGGGGAAATCACAGTCCAGGCCATGTTTGGGCTCTACAGTTTTGGGACTACTGTGTTCCACCATGTATACACAGACAGGTATAAACCATCAGGGGATAAAAAGAAAATGACAGATGGTCTCCTTGCTAGACAAATCACTTACCTGAGATTCCACCACTGTTGATTGTATTCTCCTTCTGGAATGCGCCCATCAAATACTTTCCATCTCCACTGATCCATCAAGTAGCCAAAGGGCAGGAAAGCAATTTTATCCAGTGCAATGCTCATCAAGTAGTTAATGTCACTCTCTAGCCCAAAGGAATGAAAAACATAAATAGTTGCACAGGCCACCATATTTTCTTATGCTTCTGCTTTGCCTCTCTAGCTAACTTGTAGTGAAGTCCTTTACCACCCAGCACTCTACCCTCACTCCTCAAATCCCTAAATTCCCCACTCTCTCAAAAATCGTTTCATGAATGGTTCAAAAGTCTGTATCATACAATCATCCAAGAGCAAGTCAGTTTGCATTTATGATTTAAGTCATAACTTAAGTTTTAACCCAGGCTGCACTGAAAAGCCAGTCTGCATTGAAAGACAACACAATGCTTGTGTGAATCCATATTTGGAGTCTGTGGGGTCCAGGATAGATTTGGTTTGGAGTAACAGCTGTCTCTATTTCAGTCATAGACAATAGCCTTGGCAGTTTAGAATCCATTGTGATCCTTATATGTCAAAGCTCAGAACTGCTGCTGGCAGATCTTCCGTAATACAAAGGGCTCCCATTTGACCTCATCCTGCTTACCTTCATTGTCTTCTATCTGATCTAGCAGCTTGATGCTGTACAAGTGCTTTGGAGTGGCTACTGATAAAGCCATGACATCTCCAATGGCTTCATGGAATCCTGGGTTAGCCCCATCACGAAATGAAATGGGCTGGTCCTTGTACTGCAGAAAGTACTGGACGTGGCCCATTTCATGATGAACCGTAATTAGATCATCCATGTTCACAACAGTGCATTGCTTAATCCTAAAGCATGAAAGAAAGGAGTGAGAACGTGTACATGTTAAATAATCAGGAGGAAAAAAAAATGGAAGGAATGCAATATAATTCACTCGACAGCCCAGCACAATGCAGACCACAGAGGACCAGGCAGAGTGCAGGAATACTACAAAAATCAGCTTATAAGTCCATATGACTATGTAGGTGACCGAGCCACACAGTTCAAGAAACACACACATACACGTGTCCTTCTTGTTTAAGAAGCTCCAAGGGACTCAGACCTGAGAAGAGGCCTGACTGTTGCAGACTTGATTGGTAACAGCCCCCATCTGGTTTGAGATGCGGCAAGAGAAGTTCTGCTGGCCAGATGCAGGACAGTGATGCCCTGGCAGCGATGACTCTGAAAGGGATGATGCCAAAGGGGGCAATGCAAGGGCAACCCCCCATTCTTCTCTATGTATGAGGGGAGGGGGTTCCTCTTCACTGAACCTGTGTATGTGCATGGGGATGGGAGGGTTATAATGGGGGGTGAATCAGCATAGGAATGGGTAGGGAGAAATATGGCATTGGGTGGAAGGCTAGCCAGGTAAGGTGAACATGGCCCAGGCACTTAACAACTGTGCCATGTTCTGGCACTTGCTCTGAACCGAGGGTTTGGTGGTTGCCCTATCAGCCAACCCTTGGGTCTCTGGAAGCTGCTTTTAAATGCCACATTGGTACACAGTAAGACATCCATCTTTCATGATTTCATAGTGGATGAAATGGCATGCATAACCAATACCTGAGTGGGTGAACAGGGGGAATTAGCCTCTCTCAGCCCTGCCCACCTGCATACTACAGTATCATGGTAGACTGGAGGACCAGGGAGGGGGGTTGCTCTAATCTATAGGAATTCTCTCCCTCTCATTCTCCAGGCTCTCTCTCCATCTGACTCCAGCTGACAGAAGTTGTCTCAGCTGTGATGTTGAGGTCCCCCAGACTGCTGGTACGGGGGATGTCAACACCCATGCTGAAGGTGTACTTCCTGGGGCAGGTCATGACTTTATAGACTCCATTACAACCATGGGGATGTCCCAGCATTCTATTCATCCAGCACATGCAGCAAGTTACACACTGGATTTCGTGCTTTAAGCCAGGCAGAAAAATAGTGATCTGATGGTCGGAGACTTTGAATCGATCCCCTATCGTCGTCAGATAACTCCCACTGAGATTTAGACTAACAGTGACTTTTCCCCTCTGCAGGGGTGGGGTACCCATTCAGGTGGTTCACCCTCAGAAGCTGATGGATCCATATGATTTCCAGGGCTCTGCTTGATCTCTGGAATAGAGAGATGACCCTGACTGTTGACATGATTGCTCCTTAGTGCCCTCTCTGTAGTAGAGCTCATGGAGCTCCATGGTATAGCCTGGAGCTGAGAGCGATGAAACAAATCAGGAGGCAGCTTAAGTGCAGATGGAAGAAAACTCCTAGTGAATACAATTGAGTTCTAATATGTGCTCATAGTCAAATATATTTGGCGGCAGTGAGATCAGGAAAGAAGTAATATCAGACTGCATCCATTCGATCTTCTATTTGCTGCCCAACAGAGCTCTCTAGGATTGTCTGGGCCCTATTTTATTTATTTATTTATTTATTTATTTATTTATTTATTTATTTATTTATACCCAAATCACATGAAGTACTGGTTCCCTTCCCTTTGGTACTAGTTAGGCCCCATCCAGTTCTGGGCACCACAATTCAAGAAAGACGCAGACAAACTAGAAAAAGTTCAGAGGAAAGCAACAAAGATTATTAGGAGACTAAAAACTAAGTCCTACCAGGAAAGAGTAAAAAACTAGACATGTTTATCCCAAAGAAGATTGAGGGAAAATATGATAGAACTTTTCAAATACTTGAAAGGCTGCCACACAGAAGAGGGCCAGGGTCTCTTCTCAATCATCCCAAAGTGCAGGTCACAGAATGATGAGCCTAAGTTACAGGAAGCCAGATTCCACCTGGATATCTGTAAAAATTCCTTACTGAGGAGCAGTAGGGCAATGGAACTAATCACCTAGGAAGATTGTGAGCTCTCCCACACTGGATGTCCTCAAGAGACAGTTGGCAGACATGCTTTAACTTACAGTCTTGAACTAAGCAGGGAGTTGGACTCTGTGGCTCAGTAGACTCCTTCCAACTTTGCTCTTCTATGGTTCTGTGATCTTGGAGCCATCTGAGGCCTGCTATAGTATGTTCTCTGGGTACTTCCAGGACAAAATCTCATATCCGCCAGGACTTTGACTCTAGTTTTATAGCAGTGGAATCAGGTGAGATATCCTGACCACCGTCTGGTCTAGTTGTTTTGAATGAGTTCCAGTTAGGAACTCGAGGATATTGACAAGGTACCGGACAGGTTCATGCAACCACATCCATACTGGATCCTTGCACTTCTTGGCTAATAAAAGCTAGTAGGAAGGCAACTGTTAGTTAGGCCAGGGAGGTGAATAACACTTCTTTATGGGAAGGAGTGGTTCCTGGCCATCTGCAACAAGCAGTGGTGAGCCCATACCTGAAGAAACTCTCCCTGGATCCAGATGAACTTAACTATTCTAGGCCAGTGGCAAACATCCCCTTCCTGGGAAAGGTTCTTGAGCTGGTGGCATTCTTGGATGCATCTGATTATCTGAATCCAGTTCAGTCAGAGTTCAGGCCTGGTTTTGGCATAGGAACAGCTTTGGTCAGCCTTTGTGATGACCTCTGCTGGAAGAGAGACAGGGAGAGTGCAACCCTGTTGTTTCTCCTTGACCTCTTAGCAGTTCTTAATACCATCAGCCATGGTATCCTTCTGGGGTGAGTGTGAGTTGGGAGTGAGAGGCACTCCTCTGCAATGGTTTCACTCCTACCTGGATGAAAGGCTCCAGTCGGTGGTGCTTGGACAATACTGGTGTGCCCCTTGGATCCTCCTGTTCCTCAGTCTTGTCCCCCATGCTATTTAACATATGCATGAAACTGCTAAGTGAGGTCATCTGGAATTTTGCAGTGTGTTGCTAATTGAACAGTTTGTAAAGGCCTTCAATAAATAAGTAAATGATATGCTGATGACATGCAGCCCTATCTCTCCTTTTCATCTTCAGCAGATGAGGCTGTGGATGTACTTGAACTGGTGCTTGGTCTCAACAATTGGCTAGATGAGGGTTAACAAGCCAAAGCTCAATCCAGACAAGACTGAGGAGCTGTTGGTGAGTGGTTCATTTGAGTGTATGGTGGGTGTTTAACCTGTTTTAGATGGGGTCGTACTCTTTTCGAAGGCACAAATTTGTAGCTTAGGGGTGCTCCTTGAGCCATCTTTGTCACTTAAGGCCCAGGTGGCTTCAGTGGCTCAGGTGCCTTCTTTGGTTAGGTGCCCAGCTATAGCCCTATCTGGACAGAGATAGCCTGCTATCAGTGATCTATGCTTTGGTAATCTCTAATAGAGATTACTGCAATACACTCTACATGGGGCTGCCCTCAAAGACTGCTCAGAAGCTGCAGCTTGTGCAGAATGAAGCAGAAGGGCCTTTTTAGTGGTGTCCCCCCTCCCATTATGGAACAAGCTCCCAACTGAGCCCTCCCTGCTGCCAACTTTGCTATCTTTTCAGTGCCAGGTAAAGACTGTCCCCTATTCAGGGCATTTAATTAGTGACTGAGGCCTGCTGCTTGTTAGACAGGATATAATAGGGTATTTCCTCAATGTATATATTTTTCTATTTTAATTTTTGTATTGCTATCTTTTATGATGTTTTAGTATGCTTTAATGGTGTATTTTAGATTTTTTAATGTGTTGCTGTGACCTTTGGCTGTTGGGTGGTACAGATATTAAATAAAGAAAATACATACATACATACATACATACATACATGTTTGTCTCTAGTTGTGCCATATTTTTTTTGTCATGACTTTAAACTCTAAGTCACCACAATGGAAGTATTTTAATTTGGCGTTTATGCTTTACACATCTTGGTCTATAAATGAACCCCTACCTGTGGGCAGCTGCTTGTGCACAGGGGCTACATGCAAATGGGTGTTTGCATCAGCAGACTGTCACATGCAACTTGCAGTATTGGGGGGTGAGGCTAGTGTGGCAACAGGATGCCAAGGGCCATGCCAAGAGCAGCTCCTGCTTCCTGTTGTCATTGCCATACACACGAGTAAGAGCTAGCGCTCGAGATAGTTGGCATTTGAAAAAACAAACAAACTCATCAGCTTTTGTGGCAACCTGTGCACAACAATGGCTTGGATCAGAGGTATCCCACATATACAGTGCTGAAGCCACACTGAGAACTACAACCAGGTTCCCCAAAGCTGTGTAATGATGACAGAAAGAGAAAAGGCCATCCCTGTGACACTGGCTGCACGTGGAACACTGCATGGGGTGGGGGGCATGCATGCCACCTCCAGCAAAAATGTGATGTGGATTAATGGTGGGAGTGGGGAGTGGCTTTGTGAACCTACAGAGTGGTGCAGAGCAGGTCCCATAATTCCCCCACAGGAAGGTCTGAGGCATGAGGCGCTGCACCATACCTCTAGGAAGAGAGAAGGCAGAATGTCAGCAAGTCAAAAGGAGGCAGCCCAGGGGGCATTTTGTATAGCTCCAGCACAAACAGCCTCTCTGAAATGTGGCTAGAGGGGGGAAGAGCAAACCTGTCCATTTAGGGATGTACCGGTGGGTTCCTTCTGGCCAAAGGCGGCAGAGCCCAGGTGAGCTATTAGACTGAAGACACCACTTTCTAAAGCTCTTCTCCACCTGCCCACCTGAAGTCCCTGCGGTTGTAGAAGTCCCAGGCGGAGGCGTGGCACACCACTTCTCTTCCATCGGCTGGCTTCTCCAGCATGGACTTCTCCCAGAACTCAGGTGGCATAGGAATCAGGCCCAGTGATTGGAAGAAACTGTCAGACTGCTCAAACATCTTCTTTGGGGTCCATCCCTGTGGAGAGGGTGGTAAATGTACAAAGGAAACAAAACTAAAAGCCTAGAGCAGGGCTGGCTACAGACCGTGAACACCACGAGAGAAGAATGAACTCATCATGGCTTCTGGCTTGCCAATGCCTATAGGAGAAGCAGCAAAAAACATTACACACCAAGCAAAAATAGGCATGGCATATTTAGCATGGAGAGAACCGCCGGACAGCACAGGGCCACTGCAACCAAGGGCGGAGAACTGCCAGTCCATAGGTCAGATCAACCTGGCAGCATGTTTGGAATTGGTCTGCGGCTTCCTCTCCTCAGCCAAGCCACATATGAAAACTGGGCTTGCCAAAAAAAAGCGGTCCCATACACATGAATGGGAGCATTTATTCTGAGCTTTACTGCCACTCAGATTGGCTTCAGTGGGAACCGAAAGGGAGAGAGGGAAGAAAGGAGGAGGGGTAAAGAGAGAATAGATGGCCCAGCACCACTTCTGGCCTTGTTCCCTCTGGCATCGGTCCTACTGCCCCTCCTCCTGAGGGAGTTCTCCTAAGGGAACAGGACCTTGAAGGTTTTAAAACCTCCATTCCTATGCTAAATATGATATATTCTAAAACGCCATCCTGATTATACCATCCATACAAATACAATGCAAAAATCTGAAAAGAAGCATTCTTGCTGGCTGCCCTGCCTCTGTGGGATCTCCTTTCCATGAAGACTTTCCAAAGTCTGAATATTTTTGGAAACTGCCACAAGACCTCATTTGGCTAGCTTTAAGGGTTGCAATTAAGCACACTTGGGATAACTTTAATTTTAGTATGTTTTCATTACTGTTGTGACTGTATTGCTGCTCTGACCAAGTCCTTAGAAAAACAAAAGCAGTATTTAACTAGATCCATCTGGAATCTTTCTCAATAGCCCAAACCCACAGGATACAAGGCTAGATGAGGCAGAAAGAGACTCTGCCCATGTTTTGGAGCGTCCTCCTGGGTAGCTGAAACTTCAGCAATAAAGGAGAGGGAAAAAAATCCGTTGCTACACCTTCAGCAAAGCAGAAGAGATCCATGGATTTATTCCCTGGGGGAGTTTTGAAGGAGGAAAATAGTTTAGTCCCCACAAGAAAATATTAGTAATAATAATTAAATCAAACCTGGCGTTTCATGGCTGGTGTAGCATCCACTTTAGCAGCGTTAGGGAAGGGCATAACAAGGTCAAAAATGTTTGCCCATGACTGTGCCCACATGTTTCCTAGGAAAAAGAAAATTGAGCCAATGAGTGGGAAGGGGCAAATTAGGAAAGAGAGAACTCCGGCAGCAAGTAAAATCACAAGATCCAGTAAAACTTTCGGAGGAAAGAACATCTGTCTGTTTCAACAAGAGTTGAAATTGATGGGAACACTTGGTCAATGATGTTGTTCCTGGTAAACCTATAAAGGCCTTTTCACTTCGGAAGTGGGCACATTTGCTGCATGCCACTAACACTTCTTCCAAGGATGTTGGCAGCATGAAGGAGTTTCATGGAGCAATCCGAGTACTATATTTTGTACCTGGGAAAATGTAACAATGTGGTATCTCAAAGAATGCACACCGTGCTATTGCAGCTACAACACAGAAAGTGCTTCTGTGGTTGTTACAGGCAATCCTGAATATGCATTATCATGTTATGGGCAAGACAACAGATTCTTCCCTCCTCTTTGCAGACAGTCATTCTTGTTTTGATTTTGAAAGTTATGTGGAGATGGGCAGACTCACTTGCTCAAGATGAAAAGAAGAGACAGAGCCACATGTCATCAGCAGATATGTAAAACTCCAGATGTTTCTACTCCTCTTGTGGCTCCTTCAAGAGCACTTGTAGGTAGCAGCTAAAGAGAATTTAACAGCTGCTGCACAACTCCTGAAGAGCTATTAATGCAACTTGCACAACCTGATAACCTTCTGATGTGGTTGGAGTACAACTCTCATCACCCCAGCATGTCCAGTGAAGGGCACCTGCTGGTGAAGGCAGTATCAATTCCTCATTGCCTATCTCTGTGGTGATATTGACAGATGACTGAATAATATCAAACTGCACTTTTCAGTTCTATTACTGGCAGTTTGTAGAGGTGTCTGTTTTCTTCAGGTATGGTTTATGAAAGGAATACTAATCATGCAGCAGGTCTCCAAATCTCAAAGAAAATGAATTGCCCTAGAGTTTCCCAGGATGCCCAATGACTCAGGAGACTGGTTTGGTGTGGAAAGGCTTACCTAACAAGTGAGCTGGAATGGGGCCCCTGAGATTGATGTGGTCTTTGCCATACTTCTTGTAGAGAGCCCGACGCACATAGGCATGTAAATGGAAATACAGTTCTTGAAGCTGATTCCAAATGTTCTCCAGATCAACTTCAAAATTTGGCATTTCATACAGAGATCTCCAGAAAGCACCATTGTCTGCATGACCTGTACATGTGCAGGAGAGAAGAGCAGCCTCGTTTACTGCGAGCCACTGAGAGGTCTTCATGCTACGCAGCACAGTGCACAAATCATCGTCATTGCTAGTGATGCCCTGCACCAGATGCTGTGCCTTGACTCTTAAAATCACCTTTTCCTCATTACAGCCCGCTATCAGCTTTGTTGGAGCACCATAATTACGAAGCAAGCTTACCGTTCAGTCTGGCAGCCTTATTGCTCAGTTGTACATATTTTGTGTAGAGGCTTCGAATTTTCACCCCTGAAGCATCCCGCCAGCCTTTCCAGGTGCGAAGGAGCTCATCATAGTCTCTTGATTGGGCCATGGTGTCTGTAAGTTCTAATCAAGGTATCAGCACAAGCAGGGATTATATGCACATCTGGGCACGCCATCTCCACCTTGGCTAAAATGGCCTGTTTCCTTGTCCTGTGCACCCACCTTCCCTGCCCTGTTGCTCTCCAAATGTCTTGAACTAAATGACAACTTCTACCACTTCCAGGCAGCGGAAAGTGAGAACTAGGGTGGAGATGGCTGTTCTGCACTATGCAAGCTCAGCTCCTGCCACATTCTCTCCATTCTTGAAATAAACACTGTACCTATTTGTGCCTGTGGATCCATCTCCCTCTCTGAAAATCCTCTCAAAGCCCACTTGTTCTACAAAGATATTTCCCTAGTATGTCTCTTAGCCCTTGTTACTCCTTACCAAATCCCATCTGTCTTACTGAGGCTGCACTCAGGCAGTTCATGGGGCCAAACATGTACTTGCCATTAAGTTTCCCAACTATTTCTGAGTCTTCTCCTGTATCTGCTTGACTTAATATCAAAACATTCTGAGTGCACCAAACTATCTGAAAGCCAGAAAACACTTTCTCATTTACTCCAAATCCCATTTATGTGCAAATTAGTTGTACTTCCTCTTTTGTGAGGGAAAAGACACCTAGAAAAGCCCTGCCTTATTTACTAGGACTAAGTCTTGGTAAGTCTTACTTACCAACACTTCTTTTGCTAACACAGTTATTTTGCAAGCCCAAATCTTCACATTTTAATTATAAACATCTCCAGTGTGCTTTATGGACAAAGGAAGAGGGGGTGAGAGAATATTATTCCTACCAGCTTTACAATATCATTGCTAGGACTTACCAGGATCCAATGCCTTGCAATCTTTCTCGTCACTGCAGAATTTGGCTACACTGTAAATTGTCTCCATTTCTGAGAGGATCTGATTATACTGAAAGAAAAAGGATTTTTCTATTCAGAAAGTACATCAAGGTCTCTTTAAAAGGTTAAACTTGGCATAATGAACTATGCTCAGAACACAACTGGTAACCAGGGCACATCTGGTAAGAAAGGTGGAGTTCTGCCAATTCCAAACCAGGATCTGTCTTCTGGACCATCTGTAGTTTCCAAACAACCTTCAAAAGCAGCTCCTCTGGGAATATATTCAGGTTTCCAAGAAATGGACCATCAAGGCAATATCCTTATTACCAGGGAGAATTGCTGGCCAGGCTGGCCAGGGCCAATGGGAGCTGTAGTCCAAAGAATACCAGGGGGAGATTTACACTAAAGTCCATTCCATTTATCAAGGAGCACGGTTGCAGTATTTATGAATTGCATTTATCCTACTTAGAGCACATGGTGCTGTCTCCACAGTGTTGAAAATGTGATCTTGTATCACTTGCAAATACAATTCCAGGATAAGTAGAAGGAGCTGGAAAGATTACGTGCAAGAAAATGGCCCTTAAAATTTATTTCTTTGGGTTTATACCCATGATGCATAGAGCATGGGTCATCAAATTATGGCCTGGGGGCCGGATCCCCCAGCCTCGTGCGCCTGCCTCGTGGCATGTGCCCTCCCCTTCCTTGCTTCACCTCCCCTTGCCGTGTGCATGTGCCCCACCCATCTCAGCACACATGTGTGCCTGCACCCCCCCCCCCACACACACACTGGCCCGCGCGCACTGCCAGCACCACCTTTCTGGCCCACGCCCGGCACCTTTCAACTGGCCCCCTGGTGAAAAAGTTTGAGGACCCCTGCCATAGAGATTTGTAAAAAATTAATTCACAGCTCCATCCCAAAAGCCAAAGCAAACCTGCCTCTCCCCATGCTGACTTTTGCAGGAGTAAGTGCCACTAAGAGCAATGTTATTTATTTCTGAATAGACATGTACGTCAGGGCATTTTCAGCTAGTTGTTTCTTCAAGCCACTCACCTGATTTTTGCAAAGAATAACTAGCTGAAAAGGCCCCAGTTACATATCTACTCAGATTACATTGTCTTCAACGGCACTTCCTCCTTGCAGTCTCTTTCCCATGCTGCTTTGCGCAGGAGAAAGCGCCACTGAAAGCAATGTGATTTACTTCTGAATAGACATGTCTATCACAGCATTTTCAATTAGTTGTTCCTTTCAGCTGCTGAAGCCAAATCCCACCCCCTTCCCCGCTGCCCCAAATAGTTTAGCATATACTTGAATCTATACTATGGAAAAAACACAGCATATAAAAAGTTGTGCTTTAACTGACTAGTTATATCCTGAATAAATCCAGGGTATAATGGCAGGATAATACAAAGAAGCTGGTTTAGGATGTGTGTCATGTTACATGCCAGTGAGTCAGGCATTACTGTGCTAGTGCAGATCCCTGTGATGTAGAAGAGTTGTTGTAAAAATCCCAAATCAAAGTTAACAGAACAAATTCAGTAAACAGAAAAGATGTTAAGTCTAAATACAAAGTACTCTGTTCTAACAACTCCATAATTTTTGAACCCCCCCAAATTCAGTATGGCATCATAAATGATGTAAGGGCTTGGTTACCCCTTCAATCTCACCTCCTTCAGCTCCTGTTCAGGCAGGGCCGCCCGCTCTATGTCACTCAGTTTCTTCAGGATACGCTTTATGCTGGGGTCCCTGAAATCAGTGAAATCATATTTCCGAGCCTGGTGGCCATAGTGTAGGGTATGGTTTGCCATTTCCAAGTTCTTTTCTAACTGTAAGGAAAAGGGAAGGATGTTTAGCCCTGTAAGGAGGGGAAAACACCAACTCCAGCACATCCAACTGGTGACATGCATCAGAAATGCCAATCACACAACACATATAACACATTATTTTGGGCAAGCATTACCACCCCTTCCATAATCCATAATCCATCAAAAGTAACAAAACAGTGGCTTAAAGTAATTAGCAAATTTCAGCCATTAATAGGAGCCCTAAGAAGAACTTACCATGCATCCAGTAAATGCTTTACTTTTGGAAATCAATCTACACACTGTTCCACACATACTATAACACACATACTAGCTATGGTGCAGATTTAGTGCACAGGTGGGGTTAACCAAGAAAGTGCAGTTGGAACATAAGGCAGTCAATAAGACTCTGTTAATTGTCTAATTGTGTAGATGAACAGCTGCCCTACCTCTACTGACAGAGCACCCGATACTACCAAGACCTTGTTGCACCCTGTGGAAATGGAGGGATGGGGCTATTTTCCCAATAACATCCATGAAACCTTTTAATAGCAGTAGCAGCAGAATCTAAGGTTTGCAGGGTGGACACAGGAAAGGTTATAGCAGAACAGAATCATAGAATAGTGGAGTTGGAAGGGACTAGAAGGCTAGAGGGTCCAACAACCTGCTCAGTGCAGGACTGTAAGTTAAACATCCCTTTTAATGGCGGTCCACTTGCATCTTGAATGCCCATAGGATGCAAAAGCCCTTAGGTTCCTGGTTCCATTGATGTACTGCTCTAACAATCAGTAAGTTCTTCTAGATGTTCAGCCAGAATTTGGCTTCCTGTAACTTGTGCCTGTTATTCCGTTCCCTACACTTTGGGAAGACTGAGAAGAGATGCTGAGCTTCCTCCTTGTACACAAGCAGTGCTATCATATCTCGCCTCAGTCTTCTCTTCTCAAGGCTAAACATGCCCAGTTCTTTCAATCTGTCCTCATAGGGATGCATTGAATAGAGGAGAACTAGTAAGTTACATGATTTGGAAGTGATATTTCTATTACTGCAAACTAAAATGGCATTTGCCCTTTGTGGAGCCTATCACATTGTTGCCTTACATTCAGCCTGTGATCTATGACAATTCCAAAATCCTGCTCACTTGCAGTATTGTTGAATCAAGTGTGCTCCATTATGGATTGATACAGAAATTGGCATCTATCCCTATTGGATTTCATTCTGTTGCTTTCATCTCAGCACTCTAATCAAGATGACTTTGAATCTTGTTTCTGTCTTTTCTGTCTTGGTTCTCCTCCTCACTCATGCAGCATGAAGACAACAGCCTTTTGAATTGGTGGGGAAAGTGTCACCTTTCCTTCCACAGTCTGCTTGTTGTTTTCACTGAGTCCAGAGTCCAAAGTTGCATAGTAGCACCACTGTCACGTGGCTTTATCAGCATGTATCAAACTCTGCTGAAAATTGTCCTGTCAATTGTTGCTGGGCAATAGCACCTGTGCCCTGGGCCATCATGGGCAGCAAGGCCCTGAGTAAAGGAACAATGTGGTGGCGGTGCTGGTGCTGGTGGGGAGTTACAAGTCTGTTACAAACAGACCTGCTTGGTTTGTGAGAAGCAGGTAGGGCAGGTTAGGACAGGGACTCTAGGCTAGTTATTGGTCAGGGTGGGTGACTGCTGACCAAATCCATCCTGTTCAATTCCTAGCCTAGGCTACTGGTAAGTATTTCCCTCCTTTGCAAGGAGCAGAGAGGTTTGACAGGACTGAACAGGTCAGCTCCTGGGAGACTGCAGTTTGCAGAAAGGGGCTCTTTTCCTCCTTGTCAGTGTTATCATCCCCTGGTTTCTTTGGGGGAGGATCAGGTGTCCTCAGTAGCCCCCTAGGTTTGCAAGTGTTCCCCTGCTGCTAGGACTGGGGCAACCTCCAAAACTGGAAGGGATTCTCACTGACAAGAGGGAGGGCTCAGTCTGACATGTGTCAGCCTAATGACAAACTTAGCCCTCCATTTTCATAGTGTGATTTCAAAGGGCATTTCAATTTCTCTCTTGCCAGGACAGTGTACAGCTATCTAGACAAAGTGTGTGCCTGCCCAAAATGAACATTGTAGCATTTTGCAAGTACCACTTTGCAATGAGTATGATCGTGGGAGTAGGAGGGACCCTTAGAAGCAGAATCATAGAAACATAGAAACAGAGCAAGTCAGAAGGGATATCCTGGGTCATCTAGTCTGACCCCCCGCTCCAGCCAGCTCTGCTCATGATATGCCTATCATATGCATGCCCAGCCTATCATTGAACACCCTCACTGATGGGGCCTCAACCACCTCCTGTGGAAGCCCATTCCATACCCTCGGGGTCCTAACTGTCAGGAAGTTCTTCCTGGCATCCAAACTGAACCTTGGTTCACTGAGCATCCTGCCCTCCTCCGCAGGGAAAACAGGTCTCTACCCACCTCTGTGTGACACCCCCTCACATACCTGTATGTCACCAACAGATCCCCTCAGAGTCTCCTCTTCTCCATGCTGAAAAGACCCAGTTCCCTCAGTCTCACCTCATCTAGGATTTTGTGGGGTGGCCTGCCCTCACTTTTCCAGACCCATCTCAGGTTTGCATGACACAACAACCCACCTTCATGACTCATAATGCCATGTGAACCCAGTCCAAGTTATTTTGAAATACGTTGCTTTTCTTGTAACTGGAGTAAAATAGCTGCAGTTGAAATAAAGGTACAAGGACCTTTGTGATCTCTGCTGCATCAGAAATCCCTGGATTAACTGGTGTTTTGCTCCCCCTGCCACAGCACTCCCTGCCCCTTTGAATCTTTCTGCCTAAATCTTCCTGAAATCATAGAAGCTCAGTGTGGCTTGAGACATTGCACAATTCTCTCCTGAAATCAAGCAAAAGGTTAGCTTGTTTGGTATTAAATTTAAATTCTAGTAATTTTCTCTAATTTTGCCAGTGTAAATTTGCATGTCCAGATTTCTCCATTTTTTTGTCCTCTAGGCCTGATCTCTAGATCTTTTCAGTCCCTGGTACTGGCCCTGTGCCTTCATTGCTATATTTTTGAAGCATCATGATTATTGTATCTAATATTGTCTGATCTGCCAGCTGTTGTGAGTACTATTATCAGGCCAATAAGCAGGATATAAGTATTTGAAAGGAATTAATCCTACAATCCACATACAGTAAATGGAGTGTGGATACCATACAAAATTCCAACCAAGTTCCTGGAGCCAGCTGATATTCTTAAGTGGATTTCTTATTCTCATACACATAGCTGTTTTATACCCACTACACTGCTGGAATATTGGAGAATGCAGGCACACAAAAGTGACCATATCTCACAGAGCAGCTGCATTCCACATTTAGGCTTGCCCTAAATCAGGTTGCATGGGGAACTGCCAGTCTAGAAGCACCCTACATCTGAAGGCTATGGTAAACTCGAACCCAGGAGAAGCTTCCCGGTCCCTTCAGTGTGCCACTCCAACTACTCTGCTTGTGCCCTTCACTGAGTCCCTGATGGTGTAGGGACACTGCTGGTTCTCCTACCATTATCTGTTTGTTATGGTCTGTGATATTGATGTTGTATGTCCAAGAAGCCTCTGTGTAAGCATTCCACACCACTTCAGCTGTGCTGTTGTACTCTGCCAAGAAAGTTTCAGCCATTGCTTCATCAGTTATCTTATCTGGAAGAACAGAGTAGGGGTGGGGAGAGAAATTCATTGGAATAGGTTTGGAAATGAACCTGCTTCCCTTCCTTGTTCCATCAGGTCCAGCATGGAGACTCCTAATACCTCTTTCCTAAGAAGAGAGGTAACCAGGTGTGAGCTACATGGCAGTGTCAAGACTCTGTAGTTATTAAAAAGTGAAGACAAAGCATCCTGAACTTGTTCAGAGGCTCCTTTATTTTTACTTTTATCTTTCCAGTACAAGAGCCTGTTATTCAAAGTATGTTCCAGGGCTGAGCCCTGGTAACTCCATTGACCCACCCAAGTTCATTTCTGTCTCCTAGCATTCCTGCCCCCTTAAAGAGAAATGTTAAGAGGATTCAGCAGAGAAGTGCTAAGTAGGCACTGGCTGAACTGGCCTTTGTTCTCTGGGAGGTTACAATGAAGTGAAGATTTGGATTTTAGAATCTTGGTCAGCCAGTCCCCTTGAGGCAGCACTAAAGACCTTTCAATTTATCTGTTGCATCAGACACATGGAACTCCAAGGGGGAAGAGACAGCTGCCGTCATAATACATTCAAGAGCTACACCCAGCCCTACAGTAGAAATCAACTACTAGTGTCTTCTTCCAGCAGAATCTCACCCATTGCATCTACTGCCTCCTCCCTACCAGCTGGCAGCCCAGAAACAAAACAGCAAGTATTTGAAGAAAAAAACCTGTGGCTTGCCAATCCTCAAAGGGAAACCTGGAAGGGAAAATCACAACCTCCCACCTTCAGGTGTCCTCAGTGGTCTTGTGGCAAGCTAGTTGATGGTCAGGATTTTACCCTCGATTTGTCTCACAGCAGAACCATGCAACAGCCATTCCACAGTATTCTGATTACCTCAGCCTTTTGATTCCAAGTCATATGCCCCATGTGTCATCCTCTTTAGAGAAGGGACCACTTCCATTCCTACGTCCTGTTGTAAAGTACAAACTGAGCATCCCCTCTGGATTATAACTACCATGTTTCGATGGCAATGGCATGTAGAGAGGTAGCATTTCCTCCTCTTTGGAGACTTATTTCTAAAGCCTTATTCCTATACCCAGTCTACTCTCCTCCCATGGACCTCCCTCCATAATTTTCTGCCTTGAAAACTTTACCAAGGCCTTCTGGATAGCCCTCTGGGATGGGGGGACGCCACTCAAAGTCTGGCCAGCCCAGTGTTTCATTGGCTTGCATGTTCTTCTCTTGCAACCATGCAGTAAGAGGATGGAAATATTCCAGCAATGCTGTAGCATCCATCTTATTTGTCCCAGTCAATTCCTGGAGAATATCCTGCCAGGGTCGTGAAGATCCAGCTCTCAATGTCTTACTACAGTGAAACAGACAGAGAGAGAAAGGCACAGTGATGTAGACATAGTTACTCATGTTGATACTCACTGCGGAAGTTCCACAAGTCCCTCTTTCTCCATTTTTCACCCAGTGTGTACATCCCAGCACACGGTGGGCTTGGAGAGGATCATTTTCACTATTTTCTGCTCAGCACATTTGTCAAAGCAGTCAACAGCCAGGCAATGGAACCAGGGTCAGCAGCAACAGTCAGCATCCTTGAGCAGCCTATCGGATTCCACTGCTCCTTTTACATTCTTTTTCTGACTCGTACTCTGAGTGGCTGGGTCTAGCTTCCCTTGTAATTTATCCACAATGCCTTCAACACAGCATGGCACTAAGGCATTGTCGGAAATTAGACGTCAGCTTCAGACACTGGTGTTGTTTGTAGCACTGTTGCCATTGCCCATCACCACTACCAGATGAGCCCACCAACATAAGGGAGGGTCCACCAGAAGGAGCCCAAGGCTCCTCAAACCTATAGCTGGCCCAGAAAAGTTGTTCAACTTATGTGTCTGCATAGAATAGCATTCCTGCTCAAGTCACTTCACAGCTATACTGATGACAGCATACTCTGAAACTCCAGATGACAGCACTCAATTTTTCATGTACCTGTTGAAGGATAAGACCAGTTGATGCAGAAACCCATACTGGAGAATCCACCCATTAGGAACCCATTCTTCCTAATCCTAGAACACCATTTTCTGAAGCTGAGCACCCAAGTACCTACCACTGCTACCTCAAACTATCATCCCAGAAGAACAGCATGGTTGATGTTATCAAAAACCACCAAGAGATCAAAGAGAATCAACGGAGTTATACTTGCTTGACTCTCTCCCACCAGAAGACAACATACAGGGTAACCAAGCTATTTTTATGCCAAAACCTAGTCTGAAATCCAACTGATTAGATGCAGATAATCAGTCTTAACCAAGAATATCTGGAACTGCTTTGCAGCTACCCACTCTCTCCTTTCCCACCTTACCCAGGAAAGGAGTATTGGCCACTGGTCTAAACTTATTAAGGTTCAGGGAGGGTTTCTTCAGGAGTAGACTCACCACCACCTTTTGTCAGGCAGCCTGGAATCACTCCCTCTCACAAGGAGGCATTAATCACCTTCCTGGCCCAACTGGCTGTTCCTTCCCTATTAGGTTTGATAAGCCAAGAAAGTCAAGGATCCAACATAGGAATGGCTGCATAAATCTGTCCAAGCACCTTGTCAGTCTCCTCAAGGTATACCAACTGAAACTAATGCAAGAAAACTGGGTATACTCTGGATACCATACTTTATTTAATCCCTCTAATGTTGGAGTCCTGCTGGATGCAAGTTATTTTATTCTATAAGTGTCAAGCCAGTGTATTACAGTAGGCCTCAGCTGGGTTGACAGTGTCTTAAGGGTCAGCATGTAACAGGACCCAGAGGATCCTGAAAAGCTCAGCTGGGCAGCACACAGAAGGTTCAGTAGGCTCAAGATATTGTTTCTTTGCCACTCTTACTGCCTCTGAGTATATGTAATCAAGGGTACACACCAGTGTCTGCATCTGCTCCAGGTTTTTCTCCATTTGCACTTAAATGCTCTCCTCTTTTGCGTCACTGCTCTCATCTCTGGCATATACCACAAAGCACTACAGATTCTACTCTGGAGAGAGTGTTCAGCAGCTATCACTTTACTTGCCTGGGTTATTTCTGTAGTCCACTTACCAACATTAAAGACAAAATGACAGAAATACAAAGGAGAAATTCTGAATCCTACCCATTTCCCTAGGGAATGTTCAGCTAGGTTCACAGGACCTAACTAACTTCCCTCACTAGCAGAAGCACCAGTTCTTCCACTTAAATTGAGCCTGATGTTGTTACTTACATTAGACCTTGGAATTTTTAGCAGTTATTTAACATACTCTGAACCTGTGATTATCTTTTTAACTGAACATGAGAGGAAATGCCCCTGAAGTTGGCAGAGCAAGAAAAGATTTGTAATTCCTTTGCTCCCTAAAAACCCCAACACAGTTCATAGGCAGACCCTCACAGCTGGAGAGATCTCAGATGCTTGCAGAGCGGAAAGTCTGCTGTAAAACTGAATTTCAGCAGGTGATGATGATTTATTCTGATGAAGTAATCAAACCACCATCTCCATGCCTGGTTGAGCAAACTAAGTTCGGAAACAGGTGATGGGGCAATAATATGCTGGGAGAGCACCATGAGGTCCTGAGTCACCCCACACAAGTTGCCCTCAGCCTGAATGTTGGCCTTCCGCCAGAAGCAGCATCAGCCACTCTATTTTCTTTTTGGTATAAGTCAGCCCTGTGCAACCTTCCCTTTTCCCTCTTTCACCTGAGCTTCAGTCCAGCTTCTTTTGATTGGTAGATGTCACAGGTATGAAGAGAACCACTGTGGTTGGCAGCTTGGCAAAGGGCCTTGTGGAACTGGAATTGTAGAATGAAGCTTACAAAGTACCTGCCAGAAACACAAACATTTATCCCGCAGGATCCCATCAATCATTTGGCAGGAAAAAAGAACACACATCCTATACCACAAGGTGCTATGAAGTAACTACTCTCCTCTGAGGGATCTCAATGGTTCACCAAGATTTCTTTACTTTCAAACTTTGGATTTCCCCAATCAATTTACAAATCCCTGTAACTGTACCAACTATATCCCTGAAGCCTAGAAGATGTGGATTATGGGACGTCAAGCAGGATCTGCTATGTGTAAAATGGTGAAAGCCTTGGAGATATGGTCAACTAATTCATGGTTCATAGGGAGTATTTCATTTCTGGATCTGAATTTTTTTCAGGAATCTGGGGCTTCAGGCCTACACACTGTCTTGTACCATTTCATATCTGTTTGTCAGAGGCTTTAGTTATTTCAGTCCTGCAGAACATAGCTATGTTGCCCACATCCCATGGATAATCGAGGCATAAATAACACTCTCCCAAGCACTGCAAAAAACACTTCATTTCCTAGTTACACACCTCCCAAAGCTCCCCTACATTGTTGCATACCTGACTGCTCCAGCTTTCAGTACCTGATATAAGGTGTGTTCCCAGGTATGTGATATTTAGCACCAGGGTCAAAGTTTGTTTCAGTTCTTGGAATAGGAGGACAAATCCCTTGGTATTTTGTTCTGGAAAAATGTCAGCCATGTGGACAGAAAAGAAATGATTCGCATTAGCATGAGTCTCCAAAGATAAAGAAAACTCCAGCTCTGGTCTCAAATGTCATGTTGATCATATAGATGCTGCCAGAAGCAGTTCCCTTATATCCAGTTCCCCCTCCTTCCCCTGTTACATGCCACAACACTGAATAGGGAGAGGATGAATTGTGTGATTTAAGCAGAGAGCAAAGAGAACTCATGCAGGCAAAAAGAGAACGAAAAGGAATTCATATGACGTAATGACTAAACTGAATGTTAGTCACTATTCATCCAATGCATACCTGGTTATATATGTGTTTATTTACTCCCTCAAAATTTAGCCGCCACCCCTCCACAACACACACACATATAGTTTTTGTGTCCTTTTTCTCACACACAGATCACCTGAACACACATAGCTGCGGAGAAGATTTATGGGTCCCCAATCAAACCTCCAAGTTATGAAATGCTGTCCTATCGCTTTGCAGAGCCCCTCCCTTCACATGGAGTTTAGCTGCTTGGCAGAGCTGCTTCCTTTGCTCATTCATCCGGGCAGCCTCCACTCACACCATGCTTCCATTGCTGAGAAAACCTTTACCTCAAGTACCACCAGTCATAATTGTAGCGATTTGGAGGGGTGCGCCCACTGAAAACATTCCATCGCCACTGATCTATCAGGTAGCCAAAGGGCAGGAAGGCAATCTTCTCCAAGGCCATTTTAAAGAGGAAATTGATATCACTCTCTGCATGGAATAGATGGAAGCAAAAAAAAAAAAAAAAAGGGGGGGGGGGGGGGGGGGGGGAGGGAAAGAAGAAAAGAAGGAACTGGTAGGCAGAGCATCATAAGAGAAGCCTGCCTAGCTGGAGCTGTTTGAAAGCATGTTCAAGAGCACTGGTGATGAAGAACTGGAATAAGAATTGACCTCCCATCTATGTAGCTGAACCTTCTGCTGAGAATCACCACACTGATGTTGTGCCAGAACAAAGCAGCTGCTAGTGAACAGCTGGTGAAAATATGTGCAAATTATCAAACCCCTTATGGAAAGGAAATCGCAACAAGAGTCACACAGCTGGCTAACCATATAGAAACTCTTTTCCATCCTAAAGTAAGTCATCCTCTGGGTTGACCCAAGGAGAACAGGTGTATAAACTGGATGCTGGATGGGGGCCTAACAAACGGTAGGCAAATTCTATAATTTAATAATTCTTTTCCCTTCCACAGCTAGGAAATCCTGGAAAGAAATAATCATGGTTCTTTGTTCTTGAGACAACTGATCCACCTAGGCATTTGATGCTTCATAAATCTTTCATCCCCATTGGCTGCTCCACCCATTCACCACTGTTTTCCTTAGCACCTGCTGAAATTGCCTGCATTGCCACCCACAGTCCTAATCTGTACCTCTATCCTCAGTGACTTGGCTGAGCAACCCAATCTTCTTGAGGTGAACTGGGGTGGAGACAGACAAGCTCATCACATCCCCAATTGCTTCATGGAATCCAGGGTTGGCCCCACTGCGGAATGTGAGTGGTTGGTCTTTATATTGCAGGTAGTATTCAACATGCCCCATCTCATGATGCACTGTGAAGAGCTGTTCCATGGTGATAGTTGTGCACTGCTTTATCCTAGAGAATAGGGAATGAAGAAGAGAGGTTGCAACAGCCATTACATGCATCAATTGTGCTGGCAGGGCAACTGCTTGGCTGACTGGAAGGTGAATTCCTTCTGCATCTTCTCCTTGCTTACTTATGGAAGATGAGCAGATAGCCCTCAAGGGGGCTGAAAAGAAAACCCTCTTGTTAAAACAGAAGTTAATCACTCCTAGCAGGAACACTGCTGACAACAGCTCTGTCATGAGCTCAAGGACTTCTAATGTTCCCACCATTCTTGCAAGAGTACAGATCCAAAGTGGGGAAGGAGCAGTCCTACATATAAATTTTTAAACAAATCTATATACACTGAATGGACATGGACAATTATTTCAGGCATGGACAAGCTGTGGTCCACAGTCCAACTCCCTCAGCCCAATTTCAAAAGCTGTGTGAAAGCAATCAGTCTGGAGCTTCTCCTAGTAGCCCACTGGGCATGAAGAAAGGAAGAGAAAGAACATGGATTAGCAGAGAGTGCAAAGGGTTCCTCCAGCCCCACCCACCCCAACAGGTTATTCCCGAGGGAATGCATGGCAAGGAGATTCCTCACTCACTACCTCTTCCTTGCTTGCTTCTGAGAACCATTGTAAACAGTTCATAGGAACCTGTTCACTTCCATTACTAAGAGAAGCAGCAAATTTTCCACTTAAATTAAACTGGGTGCTGCAAGTAACATTCAAGCTTGGATTTTTTTTCAAGCATTTATTTGAAGTACTGATTCCTCAACTCTGAGTTTTTATTGTTTTTTTTCCCACTGATGATGCAATCTTCCCTTAAGTTGCTAGACACAGAGGATAGGTATACATCCTTTCCTCCCATTCCAAGAGTCTATGTGGACAAGCTCTGTGGCTCCTTTTCCTGGGCAGAGCCATGCCATCTGCAGTATGCACCTGAAGTCCTTGCGGTTGTAGAAGTCCCAGGCAGAGGCGTGGCATACTACCTCGCGCCCATCAGTTGGCTTCTCCAGCATGGACTTCTCCCAGAACTCAGGTGGCATTCCAAGCAGGCCAAGTGAGGTGAAGAACTCCTCCGCCACCCGGAACATGTGTGTTACGTTCCAATTCTAAGAAATGCAAGGAAAGGCCTGGTTACTGCATTAGGTAGTGTCAGTGTGTTGACAAACCACTTACATTTTCTTATAATGGATAGTACGCATTTGGTGTTTAAGTTTTAGAGATAGCAGTGTCAAGGTGAGACAGAGGAGAAGCAAAGCTGACTAGAAGGAACTACCTGAAAGGAACAAAATTCCTATGCAAAGATATAGCTGTGCTACAGGATGGAGATAGTTGTGGCATTTGTACTCATGAATGGAAGGAAAGACTGCATCTTCAACATTGTTGTTGAAGCCAAATATGTACATTGTTTCAACCTTTCCCACATTGCAAACTACATCTACCTGCAGATCTTTATGTATGCAAGCTTAACATGAGAATGAGACATTAGAGAGCAGAAACCGAAGCCAAACTCATTTGCTCACCATACAGGGATAAAAAACATGTACAACATAGAAAGACATATTAAAAGAGCGTCATGGAGAGTTGTTGTTCATGCAGGTTGATCTGTAACTGATTTATCTTCTCCTTGATGCTGTTGGGCAAATCAGTACTTACATGTTACCCAAACATTTCTTCAGAGAACAGCTTAGCACCTTACTACAAGGGAGGCAGGAATGCCAACAAAAGTGCTGTTTCAAGATGCACATGCTTTCATCCTCATTTCTTATTGTCTAACTGCTACTGCACTCCAGGCAACAAGACAAGCAGAAGAAAATGTATGCAAGTGTTACATGGATGCCCTTACTTGGCCCTTCATGGCATTGGTGACATCAAGGCTGTGCTTGTTTGGGAAAGGGACCATCATATCATAAACGTTGTTCCACTGCTGAGCCCACATGTTACCTGCAAGGGACAAAACAGTGCAGCTTATGTGTATATAAATGACATTGGGGCTGGACCAATTACCACAGGGAATAATAGCACAAGATCTCTAGAAAAATATCTTCTGCCATTTTCTATATTTGGGACAGAAGAAGTATCTGTCTTTTTATTCTGATTGCTGGCTCAGAATAAAAGTTGTGGATTCCACTGAATAAGGGCCAAACTTGACATACCATTAATTGCAAGGATACAGTGAACTTACACAGCTTTTGCTCCATCAAGAGCAGCTGCAAAGGCACCTGAACACTCTTGGACCCATTGGAAGTGGGCAGATGATGTTCACCTCTTCGTTAAAACTAAATCATCTCTCTGAAGCTCACATAGAACCCATCCCTGGCATCAGCTTCCCACAGGAGGAACTACAGTTCTTTCCCTACACACACACTGGACATTCCAGATATCTCCATTGCTGACTTCCTTTCTTCTAACCCAGGTAAGGGTTGAGAGCCTGGGAGGTGTGGAGCAGGAAAACAAGAGGACAACAGGGGGCAGGTTTCAGGCCTATGGCAGCCATTGAAGATACCACTTCAACACAGGGAACTTGCAGGGAACAGGATGGGGTGTTTGTTTGAAAAGGCAGCGCTATTCTATTTCAGATGATACTCTGTTTCTTAAATCTTTCCCATTGTGCCATGTTGCTTCTAAAAGTTGCTAACCTCACACTGTTTTACTTTGACTGGGGAAAATAAGCAGTTCTGTCATCCCCATGAAACACACTGGATAACTGTGTTGACTTGATTTGGCTCAAAGGGTTGTTGTAAGGATAAAGCAAAACTGATTGCTCTGGAACCTGCTACAAATCATTGTAAAGTAAAACTAAATAAATTGCTTTTCTGCCATGGGAAATATTTGTATACTTAGTGAGCCTCTCCACTTCTGCAACTAGAAGCTTGGGGAGGTGGCAGAAACTGCTTTGAGTTTATGAGCCTTTTAGCAGACTGTGTATCTATACAGTGGTACCTTGGCTCACAAATGCCTTGGTTCACGAACAAATCGGGTCACAAACAAAAATTTCTGAAAAATTTTGACTTGGGTCGCGAACACCACTTTGGGCGGTGACCAAGATCGCAGCCATCTCCCCACCTCCCTGAGTGGGGAGATGGCCACGATCCCAGTTGTTTTCGCACAGGGAAGATGTGCCTGATCAGAGGCAAGCTGCTGCAGGAAAGGCATGCGGAATCTCGGCCATCTCCCCCGCGGCTCTGCTTTGCTGCTCCTGTCTTTCCTGCAGCGGCGTGCCTCTAATCACGAACGGAACTTCGATCGCGGCCATCTCCACCCCCCACCCCCCGAGTGGGGAGATGGCCACAATTCCAGTTGCTTTCATACAGGGAAGGCAGGCATGATCAGATGCGCGCTGCTGCAGGAAAGACGGGAGCAGCAAAACAGAGCCATGGGGGAGATGGCTGAGATTCTACCTGTCTTTCCTGCAGGAGCGCACCTCTGATCAGGCACGCCTTCCCTGCGTGAATGGAACTGCGATCGTGCCCATCTCTCCCTCCTCCAGGGCACCCGAGATCACGCCCGTCTCTCCCCCCCAACCCCCCAGCGCGCTGGGATGACAGGCACCTGCAGGGATGACCGGCGCAAGCTTGGTTGTGCTGGGGAGGGAGGTGGCGGGGAGATGGCTGCACTTGTGTTTGGGGCTGGTGGGGGAGATAGCCACGATCTTTGTTGTCACTTTGCTTCACATTTTTCTGATTTAAAAAATGGTTACAGAATGGATTAACCTTATTTACATTGAACCTTATGGGGAAATTTAACTTGGCTCACGACCAATTTGGGTCATGACCAGAGTCCTGGAATGGATTAAGTTTGTGAGCCAAGGTACCACTGTACTTTCAAGTTTTTCACCTCAAACACCAGGATCTTACTTTTCAAAAAGACTGATAAAAGAAACTCTCTAAGGTAAGGATGAGCATTAAATGGTGGTCTGTGTATTTCTGCAGCCCCACCCCAAACAAATCACTGCAGCCAAACTGTTAATAAATGGTAGTGGTGCATCAGTATTTTTTAAAAGCTGCTTCAAAGAGGAATGGGAAAATGCAGGAGATCTGGCACCTTTTTGTCACCAAAACCCCTCTCCCTCCAATAAAATGCCTATACATTAAAATATCATCTAATGAACATTATAAAAAACTGCATCTGTAGTAGTAAAAAGGTTTAAATCCAGCTTCCAAATAGAAGGGTCAAAAATAGCATGGTTCCAATGTAATGGATTCTTCTCCCGGATCTCCCAGATTTTCCACTCAGGAGCAACATGGGCAGCTCACCTCTGCCTTAAAACAAGGCACATGTTTAAACTAGAGATGCCCTCCCTGGATAACTTGTTTCCAAGTAAAAAGTAGCTTTTTGCCATCCCTGAATTGTTCCTGGTGATTTGGTAGCGGATGCAAAATGTGGATGACAGTAAGTTCTGACGCTGGGAAATTGGCCCCGGGATATTCCGAAGTTGCCCACTTCTGCTCTAAAGTCTTCACTAGACAGAGATACTAACTTTTGTGACTGAATTCACGTAGGAAATGTCTCCATTTGTAGTTTGGAAGGGCAGCCATCAAAGCAGCAAATAAGTGCCCACAGTTTCAGGTACCACAGCTCCAAGCATCTCTACTTTTTTCAGCTTGCACAGAGCATGGAAGGACACCAGTCAATCATTCAGTAAGAAAGGAGTTGTTCTGATCCATCCTAGCAGGACCTCTATTCCTTCCTCTTTATTTTCACCTTACCCAATAAGTGAGCTGGAATGGGGCCTTTCAGGTTGATGTATTTGGAGCCGTACTGCTCATACAGTTTCCTCCGGACAAAAGCATGCAGATTTAGGTAGAGTGGCTCCAGCTGATGATAGAGTCCTTCCAGATCATCCTCGAAAGTTGGTGAATCATACCAGGAACGCCAGTACGCCCCAGTATCCTCGAAGCCTGGGTGCAAAGTGAGCACAAAATGCACTGAAAGCCTTATTCATAACCTCAGCATGATTAAGATTCTTTTGTCTCCTGGGCCTTCCTGCCATATTTTTCATGTATTTGAGTATTTTCATGTATTTTAATGTCTTGCCCTGCTCTGAAGGTCCAGGATAGGTGGCTGAAAACTGAAGGCTGTCATCTACAAATAGTTCCATTGGGGCATTACGGATTGCAAAAGGAAGATAGCCTCAGCATCTCAACCTCCCAAATATTTTCATACTAGGATAGCAAAGGCATTGAGATTGCATATACTACGGACAGGATGATGACATCACAGGACTAAGACAGGTGTCAAACATAGACCTAAACATGAATTAAGGTCCACAGAAATGGTATACAATATATAGAAGGTGGAAGTATGCCTTTAAAGTCTCACATTTCTGAATTGTTTTTTAAACAACCTTCTTACCTAAGCTAAAAAGCATCAGACGTTACGAAGCAAATTTTCAGTCCATTTAGTTGTCTATCCCCACTTCCAACCCCAATCCACATTGCAGCATCTCACCATCCATCCTGTAGGCCTCATTGCTTAGTGAAACGAATGCTTCATATTTGGGCCTCAGAGGATTGCCAGCTGAATTGTGCCACCCTTCCCAGGCATAGAGAAGTTTTCCGTAACTGCGCGAGGTGGCCATGATGTCTGTGATCTCTGAAAAGCGGATGTAGGAAAACACAAGCACACGGTCATAGAATCATAGGGTTGAAAAAGGACCCAAAGATTTATTAAAATCTAACGCCCAAATTATAACAATGACATTTACAGATCAATTCCTCCATAGATCTAGTCACATACATGGCACTTGGCATGATGCATCATACTACAAGAGGATGCATGGTACCTTGTAGCAGAAAGCTTGATAAGGAAGACCACAGATTAACCTTAATGGGAAGAAAGACTTTTCTTCAGACCAAACAATACTGATGTACAAGTTCCATTGCCCCATTTCTTACTTCCCCCACCTCTTAGACAAAAGCATTTGTTCAGTCTCTGGACGTCTTCACTAGAAAAATTCACGCTAGATCCCACCTTAGTATTTTATTTCACCGGTGCCAATACCCTTTTGGTTCCAGGCACTGCTCCATCTATATAGTACTATCCAGTTCGGTGTACCATCCATCCTATAAATCCTTCATCAACTATGCAGCCTGTATCCTCACTTCAAAACCTCTTTGCTTTGTGGCATCTTTATCACCAAAGTTAGGTTGCCTATTTACTTATTAACTCTAAAACATTAAAATTTACCTATTAACTTAAAAAATATGTATCCTTGATTCTAACCAACAGAAATGACTTAGTGGAAAAAATGAAAGTTATGGGAACTTTGCAGAAAGGTGATTGTGTCATACTTGAATTCTTCACTGTAAAAAAGCAAAAGCTTAGTGTAGTCAGATGCATTCCCTGGATTTTAGAAATGCAATGTTCATAAACTCAGAACAATGGTAAGTCCCATGGCAAGCAACTCTACTGAAAAAATGAGTCCAATGATTTTTTAAAGAGCTTTCTAAAAGCACAATTACATTAAAAAAAAAAAAGGTAGACGACAGAAGGAGGTAATTGGCTTCACAAAAATCTTAGAGATGATCTGAAAACAAAAAAGGACATGTATAAGAAGTAGAAAGAAGGCCATACTATAAAGGAAGAGTATGGGCAGGCAGTACAGAAGTTCAGGGATGGCATCAAGAAGGCTAAAACTGAAAACAAGATGAGGTTAACAAGGGTTGTTAAAAGCAACAAAAAGACTTCTTCAGATGCATGCATCTGAAGGAGAAAAAAAGAGGCTCAGCCAACTGGATGAGGATGGCAAAATGATAACAGATGGAAAAGAAAAGTCAGAAGTGCTCAATTCCTCCTTTGGCTCAGTCTTCTGAAACAGTGCCTATCACCTGCCTGGCACAGATGAAGTTCAAGCTGAAGGGGCAGGATTGTAGCTCAAGACTGATCAGCAAATGATCAAGGAACATCTAATTACTTTGACGTAAATGTCAAAGTGTCTCTACTTGGTGTTGGGCGACCGAGACAGATTGGGGATTCTGTTGGTGTACCGTGCACCCTTCTGCCCAACAGTCCCCCTACCTGAGCTGACGGAGACTGTCTTGGACCTGGTGTTGAGGACCCCCAGGATGTTGGTCCTGGGGGACTTCAATCTCCATGCCGAGACTGATCTGACCGGGGCGGCTCAGGACTTCATGGCCTCCATGGCGGACATGGGGCTGTCTCAACATGTCATCGGCCCGACCCATGAACGTGGACAGACTCAGGACCTGGTTTTCTCGACGGGGCAGGAACAGGGTGGTCTGAGGGTGAGGAATTTATGTTTGACTCCCCTGTCATGGTCAGATCACTTCCTGGTGAGGTTTGTGCTCGAGAGCAACCTCTGTAAGGGTGCGGACCTGACTGTGTGGGTCTGCCCCCGGATCCGGATGGATCCGGAAGGATTCCTGAAGGCCCTGGGGGAGTTTCCGGCTGACAAGACGGGTGCTCCTGTCGAGGCTCTGGTCGAACTGTGGAACGGGGAGATGACCAGGGCTGTAGACACAATCGCTCCTAAGCACCCTCTCCCACCGGGCAGAGCCCGCTCTTCCCCTTGGTATACTCCTGAATTGAGGGCAATGAAGCAGGTTGGGAGATGGCTAGAGTGTAGGTGGAGGAAATCACTGGATGAATCTGACTGAACACACTTGAGAGCCCACTATCAGGCCTATGCTGTGGCGGTGAGGGTGGTGAAAAAGAGATTTTTTTCCACTTCCATTGCCTCCTCACAATGCCATCTGGCGGAGCTTTTTCGAGTGGTGCAGGGCCTGGTTCATCCAGGTCCGAAAGAAGACCTGGTTCCTCCCTCAAAGGCCCGCTGTGACGACTTTGCCAGGCATTTCAGGGAGAAAATCGTTCAGATTCGTCACGAGCTGGATTCCACTATTGATTCAAAGGTTTTAAGGGAGACGCCAATGCCACCGTCTGGTCCAGAATTATTGGATGAATTTCAGTTATTGCGGCCCGATAATGTGGACAAGGTGCTTGGACGAGTACGTCCCACCACTTGCCTATTGGACCCTTGCCCGTCTTGGTTAATAAATAATTCGAAGCACGGGATTGGGACCTGGATCTTGGAAGTGATTAACGCTTCTCTGAGGGAGGGTTGGGTGCCTGCCCCTTTAAAGGAGGCGGTAGTCCGACCGGTCCTGAAGAAGGCATCACTGGATCCAGAGATGGCCACTAATTATAGACCAGTGGCCAACATCCTATTTCTGGGCAAGGTGTTAGAGCGAGTGGTGGCGGGACAACTCCAAGCACTCTTGGATGAAACAGATTATCTGGACCCATTTCAGTCCGGCTTCAGACCCGAGTATGGTACTGAATCTGCCTTGGTCACCCTGTATGATGACCTGTGCAGGGAGAAAGACAGGGGGAGTGCGTCCCTGTTAGTTCTCCTGGACCTCTCAGCGGCTTTCGATACCATCGACCATGGTATCCTTCTGGATAGGCTTGTGGGATTGGGGGTCAGAGGCACTGCTTTGCAGTGGTTCCGCTTCTATCTCAATGGCCGGTTTCAGAAGGTGGTGCTGGGGGACTATGGCTCTGCACCATGGCAGTTATGCCATGGAGTACCGCAGGGGTCCATTTTGTCCCCGTTGCTGTTCAACATCTACATGAAACCGCTGGGAGAGGTCATCAGGAGATGTGGGCTGCAGAACCATCAGTACGCTGATGATACCCAGCTCTACCTCTCGTTTTCCACCAATCCAGGTGAGGCAGTGGCTGTACTGAACCGGTGCCTGGCTGAGGTAATGGGCTGGATGAGGGCCAATAAACTGAAGCTCAATCCAGACAAGATGGAGGTCCTGTTGGTTGGTGGTTCCGGCTTTGGAGAGGGTGAACTGAACCTTGTTCTGAATGGGGTTGCACTCCCTCCTAGGGACAAGGTCCGCAGCTTGGGAGTGCTCCTTGACCCGGAGCTTTCACTATAAGCTCAGGTGACAGCAGCGGCGAGGAACGCTTTCCTCCAGCTTCGGCTGATTCACCAGCTGCGCCCCTATCTGGAGTATGACTGCCTCGCGACAGTAACACATGGTGACTTCCCATCTTGACTTCTGTAACGCGCTCTACGTGGGGCTACCCTTGAAGACGGTCCGGATACTTCAATTGGCTCAAAATAGATCTGCCAGGCTGCTGACGGAGACTGGGCATTATGTTCACATGACTCCAGTTCTCCGTCAGCTTCACTGGCTTCCCATTGAAGTCTTGGCCCAATTCAAGGTGTTGGTGATGACCTATAAAGCCCTAAACGGCTTGGGTCCTGGTTACCTGAAAGAGCGCTTGCATCCATATATGTCCAGCCACCCCTTGAGATCGGCGGGGGAGGCCCTTCTCCGGGAACCCTCCGTGAAAGAAATTAGGAGGGTGGGTACTCGGAGGAGGGCTTTCTCTGCGGTGGCGCCTAAGTTATGGAACGTGCTCCCCAGAGAGGTCTGCCTGGCGCCGTCGTTATTTGTTTTTCGGCGACAGGCGAAGATCTTTTTATTCAAGTGGCATTTTAACTGTTAATATTATTGGATTTTATCTGGCCAGGGCGGCTTATTTTATACCGTATTTTTGTATTTTTAATTTAATGTTTATATTTTTGATATATAATTATTTTAACTTATTGTTGTAAGCCGCCCCAAGGCTTCGGCGAATGGGGCGGCATAAAAAAGTTTTAATAAAATAAATAAATAAATCAAATCTCTGGGCCTGACAAACTGCATCCTACAGTAATAGACAGAAGAACTCTCAGAACCACTGTCTATTATCTTTGAGAAATCATGGGTGACAGGGGAGGTCCCAGATGACTAAAGAAGGGCTAATGTTGTTTCCGTTTTCAAGAAGAGAAAAAAGAAAGAAGCTGGGAACTACAGACCAGTCATTCTTACATCAATTCCTTGAAATATTCTGGAGAAGATTATAAAGTATTCCATCTGCAAACACCTTGAAAGCAGTGCAGTGATTGCCAGAAGCCAACATAAATTTCTCAAGAAGAAATCCTGCCAGGCTAATTTGATTTCATTTTTGATTGGGTAATTGGTGAACTGTGGGAATGCCATGGACATACAGTAAGTTCCTTTTAACTCAGCTCTGGTTAGGCCCATCTGGAGTACTGCATCCAGTTCTGGGCACCACAGAAAGAAGACACAGAGAAAATGAAAAGTTTCAGAGGAGGGTAAGAAAGATGAGCAGGGAAATACAAGAACTGGGCACGTTTCACATTGAGAAGAGAAGACTGAAGGGGATGTGAAAGCACTGTTCAAATACTTGAAATGCTGTCACACAGAGAAGGACCAGGATCTCTTCTCAATTATCACAGACTGCAGGACACAGGATAATGGGCTCAAGTTGCAGGAAGCCAGATTCTAGCTGAACATGAGAACAGCTTCTGAACTGTTAGAGAATCAAAACAAATAGGGTGGTGGAATTAGAGGTATTATAACTCATATTAGAGACCATTGTCTCTGACCATTCAAGAAAAGATGGTCAGAGACAAGCTTTCGGGGCCACTGGAAATCGATTACTTGTCCCAGCAGTATCCACTCCTATTGTCTAGACCACAAGACTCTGACTACTCCTCCAGCTGATACCCCTCCTAGCTGAGGGGTGGAAAGCCTTAAGGAGGTAGGTCTTGAGATGGAAGCTGACAATATCATTACCTCTCCAAATGCTTCCACCTATTGCTTTGCCAACCAAGAACTGGAGATCATGTGTTCCATGAGGAGGCGAGTTCAACTCAAGAGTGAAGTCTTAGGGAGAAATGCTAGTTCAGGCGTCTTGGGTTCCAGGAGTTTCTAGCTGTCAGAGGCAGGTGCACTTTCAGATCTTGAATCCAGTACCTTTTTTATCACATTCTCAGCTTTCAGAACAGTAGTTACAAGTAAGTAACTGTGTGTGTGCATGTATGTGTGAGTGAGTGCAAGTGTGACTCTTAAACACTAGCAGGTTGCTATTGGGAATGTTTTGCAAGTGACAGGTAGGCTGTTGTTATAAGTCTCAGAATAATGTAATAAGTATTTCAGAGATGGGGTAAATCCTACATTTGACACTAGTCAGACTGGCAAACCAAATGTGGAGAAATCTGTATGGTTAACTTCTGGTGGGGGAATTTTATATTATGGCTGTTGTTCCTCATCATTAGAGCATTCCATATTTATCCTGTCTGGGGAAAAAGGTCTCCCCATTCAATTTTAGTGTATGTGCCGCTCAAGCAAGAAATGTCAAGTAATGAGCTACATGTCATCACCTAATTGCAAGCTGCCAGAATTGTTTGAAAGTTTGTATCTGTTGTTTGAGTGCATATAATTGGAACTTAAAATCAGGAATATGGTGCTTACTTGAGAATATTACAACATTTTAGAAATTGCCCCATCTGCTGGCAACCTCCTCTTGAGTTAATGCAAAAACCAAGCAAAGTTATCCTCCAGTGTTTTGAGAACAGAAAGTCTGCTGATGAAGTAGAGGAGTGGGCTTTAACCCCGCACCCCCCATGGACTGCACTATGACATATAAAGGAAATACCCTAACCTTGTGTAAAAATCTTGCTGAGGAGCTGGCTCTTGCTGAACAGGTACCATCTGTAGGACAAGTGTAGCCAACTACCAATAATAAACAATTAAATGATTTATGTCAGGCAAATAAAGTTGCTGGCTCAAGATAAAAGTCAAGCTGTTCAGAATATCCCCTTTGTTCAGGAAGGTGGCCTGTGTGAAGCAATTGCCAGTTGAGGGCTGGATTTTTTTATTTTTATTTTTTGGTTAGTGAAGGAGATTGAACATGTAAAATCTTTCTTACCTGCAAGTAATACTCTTTTAAGACTATGAGTAAATAGCACAGTTATGTTAAATGTTCAAATAGATAAGCTACCAAACACACATGGAAAAGTGAGCAAAACAAAAGGTCCAATGAAAGGAACTAAAAATAGTAAAATGGGAGTGAAAATGTAATGAAAGGCAACAAATGTTTTATATTCAAAGATTGAAAAGTATACAGAGAACAACATTTGCCAACACTACTGCCTGAATGGTTTGTACTGAAGAAATCTTATAAAGCTCTAATTAAATCAAAAACAACCATAACAAGCAGGCTATTAGACAAACATGACAGATTCCAATAAACTCAACAAGAGAGAATGACACTGCAACTGCGTGAGTGGCCCCATGCGTGGGGCCAGAAAGACCAGTAAGTACAGAATCTTGCCAAATTCCTGGGAAGCTCATTAGTGTGCCATCATCACATCAGGACATTACCAAAATAGCCCTGGGTTATTCTTTGAGAAAAATCAGCATCTTATCTTCAAATTAAAACCTGGAAAAGCAATATAAAAATATACTAACTGAACTAATAAAACCAAAGGTAGACTGGTGGGTTCCTATACTATCAACCAGAACTGGGGCCTAGCCATCATGATTCCAGTTGATAAAAAAGAGAAAGAACTGAACTGATAAACGATGGGCCAATTCATTTGCTGAGTATAATCAGCAAATAATATGCCTCTCATCTGCATAAGAAATTGTTAGACTGACTCAAACAAGAAAATATCCTTGAAGATGAACAAGATGGATTTAGAGAGGCTGCATATTGCCTTCATCAACTTCAAATGTGCTTTTGACTTAATTCCCAGAAATAAGTTGTGGAAAAAGTTCAAAGCTACTAACAGTAGGATATTGCTTATCCTTTTGTCGAGTCTGTGAAAATACTTATTTGATGGTTAGATGCAGTCATGCTGGCAATTTGACAGATTTAATAGCCACCTATAATGGAGTAATGGTGTATTTTGGCTCCCACTTTGTTTAATTTCATTATCAATTCTTTGGTCTAGAGTTTGAAAGGAATAAATTCACATACTGCAGAACTGGCAAATAGACCCCTGCTGTGCTCCTATCACTATCAAGCACAGGTTTCAGATATCTTCCATGAGCCTGAGCTTCTTATTTTGAAAATGAACTTTTGTCAGTCAGCTATTTTAAAACTAAGGCCCTAATTTTTAATAACAAACGGACCAAACATCTGATGGCAGATTAATGGGCATACAATTGAACAGTTTGTCTCCTACAAAAATCTTGTAACCTTTGAATCATCAGGCTCATGGAAGACCGAAATCAAGTATGCTACTGAAAATGCTTGTAGGAGCACCTTTATACTAAAGGTGGCCAATATGTTCCTGCAGCCTTACAAGTTTGCACTGCTAAAATACAGCAAAAACGCTGTATGGCTTTCCAATGGGTGTGATTAAGGACCACGCTCCTTTTGAGTTTAAACAAGAAAAATTTTAATAGCATTATTAGGAACCCCCCTTTTGGGTCTAATATGGTTTCATCACACAAGGCTGGACAAATTACTATTGAGGCACAAATGTTATACAAGATGAATTTTTGGCTAAGGCTGATATTTTGTCCTGTTGGCCTTGTCCCATAAATTTTGACTGACACATTTCAATCCAGATAGAAAAGGTCATTGGTGGTAAAAATACAGTATGTAGGGTTTTTTTGGTACATGCCATACAGATGTTGGAATATACTAAAGCTGAAGAAGTCATCACACAGCATATTAAAGACACTGAATTTCAAAACTGTATGAGACTGATTGAGCACTATCCTAATTATTGGGATCATGTGGCAGCATTCAAAATGTCAAATTATATGTCAAATTTGCTAATCCCTTATTCTAGAAGACCTGTCACACTAGTGAGGTTAAATGTACACCTTCTGCACTTTTAAAAGGAGATATAATAAGATCCCTGTTCAAGAGTGACTATGTGGAAATATGGAAATGGAAGCTCACATATTATTTTGCTGTCCTTTATATCAAGTTCTATGAAGCCATTTCATTGCCCCTATTCTCCCCCTCCTCAAAAAAACAAAAACAAAAAACCATACACACAGGAAGGTCTGAAGCATTTAATCTGAACATTTTATTACCAGATTGGAATCCTCAAATTACTTACGAAGTAGCTCATTTAGTGCCTTTGTAGCAAGACAATGGTAATTAAGGACAGCAGCTTTTGGCGAATGTTGCATTATTAATATATTCTTTCATGTTTTTGGCAATAAGTATTTTGGATGTGTGACCTTGATTTATATATGTGCATACTATAATTGCAATTATTTTAATTTTTGCATTTGTTACTTGTCTCCTTGTTTTTAATTCATTTTAAGTGGTGACAGAAAAATAACTTGTCTTTATTTTTAACTTGTATTGGCCCACATTAAATAAAATCCATAAAATTGATCTGATCTGATCTGATCTTCCCATATCCCACAATTTATGGGTGTTATTTATTCAACTGCTGTTATTAGACTGAGAAGTAGCTCAGTATAGCTGACTTCTGCTCATCAGATTAGCTTTTCCCAATTTTGAGTTGCTTGGCAATGAGAGCTTATAATTTTCTAATTGTTTTGGTTTCCAAAAACTTGCTAGTTTCCTTTCATTCTGGCCATTATAATTAGAGAAGATAAATTTGACAAATGACTAAAATTAAAGAATTAAGACATAATTTTAAAAAACACAAACTAATTGGTTTTTCAGCTCTTGATATCCAAGACATTTGGGGAGGGGGGGGGTGTCAAATTTGTTTCACACCTGAAGGAAGAATAAACATACTGTAGATAGAACAAGAGCCAAGACATTTCATTAGCTGTGGCACAATAACTATTATTTGAATTATTTCTAAACATTCTTTCAAATAGTCAAAGTTTCATATCATTGCAACACACAGGATAACTGCAGCTCACTAAACTGCAGCTCAGGATTAGTTTCTGTGTTTCTGACATGACCCTTAGACCTCTACATAAATATCAACTTATCACAACCTTGAGAGTGCTCCCATGTTCAAAAGAAGATAAAATTCACATAAGCATTGCGGGGGGGGGGGGGGGGGGGGGGGGGGCTCAGTGCGGACAGGAAGGTGCATACCTGGCTCTAGAGACCAACAGCTGGAGGTTTGGTTCGGAAGACACACCTTGGCAGTAGAGTAGATGCTGTCCATCTCACTCAGGATAGTGTTATACTTGGTTAGGACAGAGAGGTAGACATGGTTAAAGTAACAATCCCAAACCTGCCAATTCTGCATGTCTCTGAAACTGCTTCCTACCCTGCATGACCTGTCTCCACTTCAGCAGTCAACTAAGAATGACCGCCTAATGGCAGGAGTGAGTATACATAATCTGGCTGACACAAATGTATGCTTACTGTATTCCACGTATAAAGCATCATGCTTCAGTATCTGTGGCCAACCAGATCAGAAGGAAACCAAAAACACAGCTGACTTCCACATCACCTTATACTTAAGAACAAAATGAATAGACCCACTCCTTTTTCCTGTTTAACCTTAGCCATCTTTCTTTCTCACATAATGAGATATTATTTCTCACATATGTGATATAGCTCTATGACCTGCACCACTGATTTCGCACTACCCTGGGGAAAGCCGGGACTCTAATCAGCTTGCACCAAAAAGTATGTCAGACTCTTCCAGCATGGCCAGGCCATTCCATGCCTTAGAAAGGATATGGTATTGGAGATGCTGCATGGGCACAGGGGCTGGGAAGAAATGGATCAGGCTGGGAGACAGGAAACAGAGAGGCCCCTTGGCAGCCTTCCTTGATATCCTGAGGGAAATATCAGCCTCCCTGATATTTCCTCATTAACTATAAGAATAGTCACGGAGGCATCCTAATCTTGGTTTCCACCTTCTTGGCTCAAGAGAAAAGAAAGAGGGCACAGAAGAACAAGTTGCAGGACAAGACTTTTCGCTCCTTGTGTCATAAGGGCTATCCACCTTTTTGATGGGCACTTGTTTCCCAGGTTCTCTAGTTATTACTAGAAATAGTACTCCACTTGCCATCTGTCTGGATAGCAGTTCTGGATACTCCCCGCCCCGCCCCGCCCCATTCATTCATTCATTCATTCATTCATTCATTCTTTGTTAATTAAGCCTAAAATGCACTCCACAATATTTGCATTGGATTGTGGACCCTTCACAAAAGGGGCTCTCAACCTTTTCAGACTCATGAGCATATTTGGAAATTTAAGAAACCACTATAAGAAAGACACAACCATGCCTAATCAGTGGGTTGCTGCTTTGATGTCTGCCTGTCCTGTCTATGAGTCTCAGGCTACATCTTGTTCAGGAAAACTTGTGTTTCATGTCTACTGACTTCTTTAGGAGGAGATTATCTATTTCAGCTCATTGTTGGGAGCCAGAAGCCAGAGAAGCAGGGATCTCATCAGTGGTTAAAAATAATGTGCAAATCACAGTCTGTCTTAGCAATGGAAATTCATGAGCTAAATCAACTTGCACCATAGTGAGTTGGTGTCAGCGCGGAGCTAACAAACCAGAATTGGGGGTGGGAGCAAATCATGAAAATCCATCAGATGAGGAAATCCTCCTATAAGGTTTCTCACACAGCCTTAACCAGTGATTGAAAGGCCCACTCTCTAATCCTATGTGTTTTGGAGCCATTTATGATGAGACAAGGCTAATGCCATCATGTTACACTCTGGACAAGCCTAAGCACCCAAAAGCCACATGGTTCTGGCACAGTTCGTGCAGAATTGGCTGATGATGCTATAACAGCAAAAAGTGGGAAAATTACAGTTTCTTTCCTTTAAAAAGGAGGAAAATAAAGATTTGTCATCACTGGAATTATAGTTCCAACTGCAATTTTCAAGAAAAGCAACTGTGCAAAACTTTGCTCCTTCCTCTATAGGACAGAGGATGCTGGGAATGTCTCAAGTGTGAGGTATGGGGCAGAAGGATGGAGCCATTCTCCTCTTAAAATAAAAGTTGAGCCCAGACTATTTTAAATTAATGATAAATGATAAAGGAGTTATGCTCTTCTGAATAGCACCATTGTGCCTTCAAACTCATAAGGTAGTTCAAATTCTGACTACTCAGTATGAATTTGACTAGCTCTTTTTTCTCTGACATTCCTCCCTGACAGCTCAGCTTCTCTCAGTCTGGAGTGATGCTTACCTGTTTCCGCTTATCCACAGGTAAATTGGAAGGTCCTAAGGTTTGGATGGAACTGATGATTTTCCTCAGCTGAGGATCACTGAAGTTTTGCCAGCTGTGGCCATAGCTCTCCTTTGCTTTCTTCCCCCAGAGTTCTGTGAATTCTTGCTCCTTCAAAGAGGCTGCTACCTGTAATGGGAGGGAGAGGCACATATAGGCATGTGGTACATGAGTACAGTTTTATCATATCTCTTTATACATGGGCAGGCCCAGACAGATACAAAGGGGTCAACACTCTGCACTTCATAGCTCTTTAAAACCAGGAGAGGAAATTGGGATAGCTCTGTGGAACATGCATTTGGGAGTATCTCAGTTTGGGGGTATTCTCAGCTTTAAAGCACTATGTTGTACTTCTCCTCTCTAAAGTGGATTAAGTGTGCTGCAGCAACAGCTGAATGGGGAGCTTCCATCCCTTATGATTTTGAGTTTAGAGCTTCAGTCAAGCTTTAATCAATACATGTTTTAGATATGGATCTTCTCTAACACTGTACGATTTTGAACTTTTCTTAAGGAATACACAACTGATGTTTCCAACTCAGTGAGACATTTCTATCTAACAATAAGAAGTTACAATACAATAAGAGCTCTCTCACATGTAAATGGTATTGTCCCCTTCCTACAGTACCATTAATGAAATCTTGAAATATATTAGGTAACAGCAAAACAGTGAATCAGTTTTAAAACAAAATAAATTAGTTGATGAAGCAATTATCATACACATTCATTTCCAGTTTATTATAAGTCAATGCAAAAGACAGCAGCTATCACTTAGTTGCAGTTATACTCATAAATTAAAAAGTTGTGCTTATAGCCAACACTATTCAAACAAGCCTCCCCTTGCAGGATGAGACTTTCCTGGCTCTGTAGACCCCTTTGCACCTCCCAAAACTGCTCTGAAGGAGCTGTAGCAGAAGGGGAAAACCAATCTGCCAGCAGATAGTCAGGGCTGTAAAGTGCATGATGTTACTCAAAATCCAGAGATTGTGTACATGGATGCATGCACATGCTGCTTCTTTCATTCCAACTGAAGATGATTTGCATGGGGGAAGGAAGCGATGTGGATAACTCCTACTGCCTGAATTAATATAAAATCTATTCCAAACAAGGGCGTTTTGAGAGTATCAGTGCCTGGAACAGTTCCAAAAGGCTGGGTATTCCAATGGTTTCCATATTAGCCAATGATCATCCTTGGTTCATTCATTTTTAATGGAGAATCCAGACAATATGGATTCTCCATTAAAAAATGGAGAAAATGGAGTTTTGTTGCTAAACTTTAGTATTCCTGCATTTGTGTTGATGGTGTCCTCCTATCTTATTCATTATTTCACTGTTGACTATCTTCCCTCCGCATCTTTAAAATACAATTGCAATGACAGCTTGCCCAATGAGAACTGCTGATTGCTATGGAGGCTCTTCAGAATTACTATGTAGTGGTTAAAAGCTTCACTTTTCCAGCTTCTGCCTCAAATTGCTTCTTGTTGTCCTATAACTGATACCATCTTACTCATGTCCAAGACAAAGACGTCTCTAGTTTACAATCAATTGCCCGCTTCTGCTGAAAGTAACCAATGCTGATACTGACATGTAAATGCCCTGGCTGATATCATATAAGGGTCAAGTACATCACCTCATATACACATAATAGGAAAGCTTTCAGTGCCATCGACTGAACAATTGTTCCACTGCCTGAACAATTGGGAATACAAGAAAACTCATGTCTGGGTCCAGGATAAACAATGAGTAGAGAAATGGCTAGATTCACTCTATGATTCTTAAGGGTAATTTCCATCCAGGAAGCTGGTAGGAACCCAAAGTTACGTACTCTTCTGGAAAAGAAAGTTTGAGGTATTTTTTTCAATAAAGTTCTTCCAGAAAACAAGAGGGAGTTTGATACAAGCATCAGAGGGATTGCATCATGGATGCAAGGAACCAGGCTTGTAGCTTGCAGCCAGATAAATAACTGGAGCCTGCAGTCCTGATCACTTAAGACTGGTTCTGGCCTGCTTGTAAAGGCTGCTTCCAATCCTAATTCAAGGTGCTGGTTGTAACCTATAAAACCTTACACAGTTTAGGACTGCAATACCTGTCAGAGGACCTCTCCCAACCGCCAACTAGTCAAACCCTGTACTGAACCTCTGGAGACTTCCTCTGAGTGTCAGCTCCGAGAGAAGCATGGAGGATGCCAACAAGAGGAAGGGTTTTCTCTGCGGTGGCCCTCTGCTTCCAGAATATCCTCCCCACTGCAGCCCAGCTGGCACCAAATTTGCCATCTTTTCATCTCCAGATTAAGACAGCCCTTTATCACGAGACTTTTAAAGACTTACCTGGATACCTAGGGGCTTGAGTAGATTGCCTGACCCAGTTGTTTTACCAAGACTTTCTTTGTTGTTGTTGTTGTTTTAAATTGTTTTAAACTTTTAATTTTTTTTCTGATTTTATACATTTTTATTGAAATACATTATCTTTTTAATGAACTGTTTTAACTGCCCAGAGAACTTCAGCTGTGGGGCAATACAGAAATGAAATGAGATGATGATGCAGGGCTCTGAATAGCTGGACAATATTTCTGTATTTTCTCTGCCACTTGCCACTGAATCACTAATGTAAACTGCTGATTATTTTGTGCTTTGTAACTGAATGACTTTTGCTTCCTTTCTGTACTTTTTACCTGAATCCCCAATAAACTTTTTACACCGTTTTTACTCAAATTCGGACTGTGTGCTTTGGGCTAGAAAGTAGGATGCACCATGTTACTGGCTATGCTAGCACTGATGTAAAGACCAAGTTTCATGCAATGTGCTGAACAAAGCCTAAAACTAAGCCATGCTCCTTTAAGGACGTGGGCAAGCTGTAAGAAACCCAGTGCAAGGGGCCCCACTGGAATCCTTGGTCAGTTGTCTTAGAGCAGGGGTCCTCAGACTTTTTAAACAGGCCAGTTCACTGTCCCTCAGACTGTTGGGGGGGCAGATTATAGTTTGAAAAAAATATGAACAAATTCCTATGCACACTGCACATATCTTATTTGTAGTGCAAAAAACCCCCAGAAAAAACAGTACAGTATTTAAAATGAAGAACAATTTTAATCAAAATAAACTTATTAGTATTTCAATGGGAAGTATGGACCTGCTTTTAGCTAATGAGATGGTCAATGTCTGGTTCCATATTTGCTCCTTTCTTCTGTATTCAGAGCCAACGCATGCGTGCAATAGGTGGAAGAACCGGCAAGTGCGCAAGTCATGCTGGCAAGACCAACGCAGCAGCAGGAGCTAGCCAGAGCTAGCAGAGGGAGCCAGCGCATGCGCAGTTGAAGGGAGCTGTCACAATTTGGTGCATGTGTTGGCTCTCTGCTAGACTCTGAAACTGAAAGAGTTTCAGAGTACACTTGCACTGGCTCAGAGCTTTTGGACTCGTTCAGAGATCGTTTTCTCTGAATGAGTCTAAAAGCTCTGAGGTGGGCTGGGTAAATGACCTTGGCAGGCCATAGTTTGAGGACCCCTGTCCTAGAGGGATTAAAAATGCTCAAGGGCTGGAGAGACAAGGGCTTGCTCTACTTTCAAGTATCAAACTGTCCAGCATATGTATATAATTAATATCAATACTGGCACCATAAGAACATGTCCTGAAGTCATGAGGTAAGCCATTGGGTCAGCAGCAGTTCAAGAGGAGTGACCTAAATACTTGAGCTAGCCGGTATGAATGAGAAAAAGAATGAATGCCGAATGCTGGAATTCTAGTGCAAGAAAGGTCACATATAACCTGAAAAGATTTCCCTTAAAGAGACAGGCAACAGTCCTGCAAGGGATGTGTACCACTGAGCACAATACTCAACTGAAGTTAAGGGAAAAAATACCAGACACCTGAAAATTATTCCATCAACAGCAACCAGCAAACAAAGGAAAAGAACAAACCCTTTACCATTGAAAACAGACACAATCACATAGGAGACCATCAAGAACAATTAAGCAGCCATCAAGTAATTAGCATGAGTCTAAGAAACAATAGAAACCTTCCTGCTCCCACAGAAGGAAGCAGAGGAAAATGAGTGTTAGAACCAGAGGCTTAGCAACTGGAAGTGAGCAAGTTTAAGCATTTGTACCAGTTCTATATCACTTTCTGAAAAAAAAAATCCTTTGGTTTTCCTAAATGTATGTGTGAATGTGAGGGTAAAGGGTGTGTTTCCTTGGCAGCACATATCAGTCCCCAGCAAAAGATCCTTAAACCTCTCAGAGTTGCCAGGAAGGCAAGCACCCCCTTTTGAGGTGTATTGCTTCCTGAGATTACCTGGCATGACAACTGATTCTGGCTGGCACTGCCAATAGCCAGTGTGCCCAGCCTACCAGGTCACCACACAATGGAAGTGGTACAAAAAATCTTTGTGTACTATGACCCTAAATCCAGGTGGAAACTTCTTTGGGTTTTTTTTTATTATTCCCACTACTGAAAGGGAAACATATCGGTGGCAAAAATTGGGGGTTTCTTTCTTTTGGATAGTTATTCCTAGGTGAACCTAGAGGTGTGTGCTTCTGAGGTCATGAAAGGTGCCAGTAGTCCAAGCTGTCATTTCAACAGAGCTAGGGGGATGCATGATGAAGTATGCGCCTGCCATTGGGGCAGAAGTGCTCCCTCTGCCTACCTGGCCAACCAATCTCCACTTTTCCACCCTGTCTCGGCAGCTGTTTTTTAACTCCAGCGGAAGGAGCTGGAACTAGTGGAGAAGTGGCTTCCCAGGAAGACCAAGAGAGAAGAAAAGTGTTGTGCAAAGGAGGCCATTGATACGAGGCTTACTCAGATGGCCAAAGTCAAAGAACAGACAAGGCAACGTGAACTGGAAATGGAACAGTGACATCAAGGACAGAGAACTGTCCTTAACACTCCAGTTGCTCATTTGCCAACAGTCAATCCCTGCTGAGGTGGGAAACATAGATGATCCTTTTTGCTTCTTTTGAATATGTCTATGGAGGTTCACGGATGGCAAAAGCAGAGTACTTGCAGCACCTAATTCCCAAGTCTTGGGTCTGCTCCAGGAAGGGTTGATGGAGCTGACAAGCCCAGAGCAAATGGACATGACCAATGACCAGTACTAAATGTAATTCTGAGGGATAGAGCACCAAGTTCAGGATGATATACCC